TGGGTGTGTTGGATATAAAACAAGTTAACGTTAAGCATACTGCCAAACATCAACATGTTAGTAAGGACTGTGTGGGTGTGTTGGATATAAAACAACAAGTTAACGTTAAGCATACTGCCAAACATCCACACGCTAGTAAGGACTGTATCCTCTCGGGCTTGATGTTTTGCACATTTCGAACCACGTTTCATTCTCTTGCGAATAAGATTCTTTGTTTAAGTTGTATCCATATTCATGTATCTTGTGATGCAAGACCGTTAAACAAAGAATCAATACTCTAGGAAATGGCATGTGATGTGAAATGGGAAAACAGCGGACTAGGTCAATTTTCTAAGTTGATGTGTTGTTTGTCGAACTAGGGACATGCGCAGCACCATTATGGTCTGCCAAATATTCCTACCTGACAACTGCTGCCTTGCGGTACGCTAAACTCACTGGAGAACCAGAACAAGCAGTGATGGCGAGATACTTTGGCTTGGCGAGCTGCTTCTTCACTCTTGCGCACATCACAGGGAACTTGATATCATCGGTAGTGCTTCAGAAAAACACAGGTAGGTGCTGAGAAACCTCCCGAATCTCCAGATAACTCTTTTTGGAATTCTTTGGTTACAGAATAATCCCGCCTGGAGTTCGGAATTTATTTTCCGAAACCAATTTGCTTGAAGAAACTTAATCATATCTTTAGACACAATTTTCAGACATCGTTTTCGTTTTCCTCTTCTAGGTTCTGATGTTTTCAGATCCGATGCTCACAAGGTCTGCGGTGCACGTTATGATCAAATGCCGGCAGTACCATCGTCTAATGTCACGGTCCCTTTATTCAAGCCTGCGCATTCTCTAGTTATAAATATGCTGTCTGTTTACTTGGCCACTAGCGTATTGGCTCTTCTTATTGTGGCGGTTTTCCTTAAAAGGTAATAGCGCAGCGCAACCGTGACGTCATAAAAACGGAGACAAAAGCCAAATTCGGACAAACAAACTTACAAGTTTTCTTTCAGCAGATAATTTTCACATCCGATCGCAGTTGATCTTAGTTTACATGGGTTATTATTGTAACTTTAAGTAAAAATAATAAAATCGGTTCGTATAATCCTCGTAGCGGTTAAACAACGCAATGTTTGTCCGAATTTTTAAGCTATTTTTAGAATCAGTGCGCTGCGCTATTGGCTGGTATTATAGATCTATAAGCTTATGTTAGTTTTACTTAGGAAGCTAAGAGGCCCAAAGTTCCTTCACAAAGAATTGAARGTTTTCTATTATTGCCCTATTCTCCTTTGCAGGCGTCCTTGGGGGCCCTCCTAAAAAAATCCCAAGAACGACCCCTAAGGACGCCTGCAAACAAGGCTATTATGGCCCTGAGGATATGAAAGCTCGGCGAAAAATAAAAAATGTTAGGGAGCATTTATTTTTTTAGGAGGGGGTGGACCGGAACTATAAACAGTAATGTAAAATCTTTAGACCTCCTTTTTCTTCTCTTGCATAAATAAGTGACCCTCCCCTCAAACGTTTTTGAAATCTTGTCCCTCCTCTTTATGTAGTATAAAATGTTTGATGACCCCCTTTTTGACTGAGTAGAATTTAATGGCCCTCCCCTGGATTTCTCCGGCCCATACCACCCCCCCCCCCCCACCCCTTTCCTAAAAAATGAATGCTCTCTCAAACAACGTAGTCGAATTTGCTTTAATCAATTTTTACGATATTTTAACACAGGTTGAAAAACACTTCTTCCAGTAGTGAGAACAGAAAAAGTGGGATGCAGGCTTTCATGGCAACGATACATCAGCACAAAGACAGACGATTACTTCTCATCATACCTTTATCGGTATTTATTGGTGTGAAATCTGCATTCGTTTTTGGAGATTTCTCGGTGGTAAGATGATATTGGGGTTTAACTTATTTTGGGGACTCCAAAGAAATGAATGCACGGACGGACGGACGGACGGACGAAATGAATTTAATTGGTCAAATAGAAGAATTAATTAATATAACGAGAAAAGGAATGAATAGAATGGACAAGTGAGCGAACGAACGAACGAATAAATAAATAAATGTGATAATCAAAAATAAGGAGAAATTTAAGGGTCTGGATAAAGAAATATATGAATGAACGACTGACAGAGTAACACGGACCGTGCAAACRAAAGGAAAAAACAACGAATGAACGACGAGCGACGAATTAACAAGTGAATTAATAAATAAATGATTAATTGGGAAGAAAAGGGTCGCGCTCTGGTTTGACTTGAGTTTTGAACATTTTAAGATGTCATCTATCACAAATGAGAGAACAGTCAATGGAAATCTATGAATGTTTTGTTGAATTTATTTCTTTATTTTGCAGGCGTATGTGACATGTACCATCGGCATCCATCGTGTTGGATATGTTATGATGGTGTTCGGTGCGACTGCTTCTATAGCCTCGGTTCTCGTTGGACGAATCACAATACACACTGGAATAAAACCCACAATATTCATGGGGTCTATGATATACACGGTATCAGTGTTGATACTGTTGTTATGGAAACCGAGCGCTTCGTACGTGTGGGTGATCTATGTGTTGTCCGTCATGTTGGGTCTGTGTGATGGACTTTTTGAAACTCAAATCCATGGTAGGTGACGGTTGATCTTCTATAGCATGTGCATGTTACGCCATAACCACCATCTTGGTTGATGATAACAAAGCATCCTCATTAGATTCTATTGTTAGATCAATCAACATGGCGGCGGTTTTATTCTTATTCATATTTCAAGGGATTTTAAGTCAAATGTATGATTACACACACTGTATATAGTGTGATCGGTATCTTCTGATCAAGTGCAATACGGCAACGATACATGGGTGTGCGTTTGGTAGCTTTCTACTCCAAAAAAATTACGATGTTGACGGTAATTTGGTAAGGAGAATGCTACGTCATAACCAGAGAGAATGTACGCGCGCGCGTTCTGTGTGCGGTGATGAAGCACGCGGGGATTGGCAGAACATGAGAGAAGTGTTAGGGGAAGCACGACGCGTAGCGGAGTGCTTCTCGACACTTTTCGAGTGTTCTGCCAGTCCCCAAGTGCTTTATAACTGCACACAGCTTTTTATTTCTTTTATAAAATGCAAAAACACGCGCTCCCAACCAATCAGAATGCGAGATTTATAACATTTATTTTATAATGGATGATGGTGATAATACATGTTGGTGGTGTTGATAATGATAGTAGTAATATTGTAATGATGAGTGAGGTGTAGTATTAGTACTAATATGATGACGATGGTGTTAATGGTAATATAGATTCATATTGATGGTAATGATCATTACATATTCTTCGGGATATTTAAAAAACAATAGAAACTTTGTGCATAATTTGCATAAAAATAGAGTTCAATTCCCAGAGGATAAAAAATGTATTGTCTTGGTACCCCATAATGGCCGCTGAGACCTCACGTGAAAACGCTCTATAAGTAGGGTCTAAAATGAATCACGTGATCCATATTTTTTTCCATTTCAGCTATATATGGCCACTACTTTCAAGACAACAAAGAACCAGCCTTTGCTAGTTTTTGTTTATGGAGTTCTTTCGGGTTTTCCATGGCGTTTGGCTATGCCAATTTCGTATCAGTGGGTGTCAAGTTGTGCTTATTGATGACCTTCTTAGTCATTGGGATGTTTGGTTACTTGATAGCCGAAAGAATTCAAAATAGAAACAACAAACCGTTGAATGTCCAAGCAGAGGAAAAACCGCTGCAAACAGTCGGGCAAAGCAGGGGTGTCGACGATATTGAAGTTATAACTTCAATTTGATCTAAGAAAGGTTTTTGGTTAAATTCAATTATAAAACTAGGAATACCATTTTTGATAAATAAAAAAATTGGAAGAAAAGGGAAAAAGCAATTAATATGATGAAAATTCCTTAACAAAAGATATGTATCGTCATAAAGTATTTTATATTGAATAAAGGGATCCAGGATCATTTGATAGGTTTTTGTGTCAATAATACTTACCCATAATGAAAATTGTTCGCTGATCTCCGTTTAGGTCGATCTACTCACAGAAATCCCAAACAAGTATAGGAAATATGAGGGAATGTTCAAMAACGCTTTATCTTTTCATTTTAAGACCCATGCATTCCGAATTCCCTATCGGCTAAAATAAACATACACACGTTTGGAGGATTTTCAGCTTGCCTTGGTAATGGGCTTTTTTAGTTTTCATCCCGAGACAGCCAGTCAGTTGCAAATTGGGTACCTGGTCCAACCATGGGCACAAATAAATTTAACAAATTTACGATGGTTTAGCGTGGTATGTCCTCTTATTTACCACGATATGACGTCAAAAGTTGGTCAAAATGTTATGGACTCACGAGGCGTAAGCCGAGTGGGTCCATAACTAATTTTGACCAACGTTTGGCGTCATATCGTGGTAAATAAGAGGACATACCACGCTAAACCATCGTAAATTTGTTTTTTACTACAAAACTCACAAAACTCTAGGAAATAGACTGCACGAAATCTTGCATGACGCCATTTGTTGGTATGGCCTCTTATTTACGACGTTTTTTAACCAATCAGCGCGCAAAAAAAATTTACAATTGTGGTAAAAATAATGATTAATGCTATGCCAAAAAAGAAGTCGTTAAAAACTATTTTATTTGTTTGGTTTCTTTTAGTAACATACATGTAAATACAAATAAAATAGGCTTTTTGTTACAAATCAATGACAAACGAACAAGCTAAAAATAATACCCCAGCACAGAATTCTGGAATATGAGGCTAGAATGTATAATGGTTAATCAAACGCTAAGTCAATATGTAGGCTATAGTTTTAGAACAGTGCTAATCTGGGCTAGTCAAGGGAAAAATTGTGTAGTACAGTATTGGATATAGAACTGTTCCCTGGGTGCATTGGTGCCAAGAAAATGAGCACTACATACAGCCCAGAATAGACCTCTTTGGCTTGGGGTAATGTTTTCCCATTTCAGACCATGTGTCATTCCCTTGAAAATAAGATTCTTTGTTTGAGCTGTATCCATATTTATGTGTCTTCTCATATGCAACCAAGTGCAAACCCTAAACAAAGAAACAATACTCTAGGGAATGACACGTGGTCTGAAATGGGAAAACATTACGTCAGAGCCAGAGGTGTATTGGACTATAAGCGGATCACTTATATGTCCAATAAAAGTTTAAACACTCAAAATCATAACAGCATTGCAATGTTTTTAACCAAAGTTGGGTTTTGAAAATTGTATAAAGATAACAAGTCTACTAAACCCTGATTGGAATCAATGCTTTAAGAGTCGATAAAAAACTTTATATGTCAATATAAGGGATGATAGTTGAGTTCTTAGGTAAACAATTCCTTAAATATAATTACACAAAAATGTTTGTTTATAGATGAGTAATATATTAGGAATGCTGGCAAAAACAAGTTTTCTTTGAAAACAAAAGGTTTATCTTGAAGCAGGCCAAACGTATATACTCCATACCCTATGCAAGGCTTAAGATAATGGTCAGTCAGTCGCAGGTCATGATCACAGGAAAAAAAATTAGTTTAAGGATAGTGAAACCTTATTTGTGGCTCAATGTTATTGACTGGCAAGCGTTCTGGCTGGACATTGTCTGATGACTAACTGCTATTTTAAGCCCTGCTATGGGTTATAAAACTATTTTAACATGCATCATGTAACTTATAACACTCTGATGAGTATCCACCTTAGTTTTCCTGAGCAAGGATTACAGTATGTGCAAAAAAAAGAGAATTGTAGTAAAATTAAATAAGCAAACTCTATGGTGTAGTCCTGATATTTAAAGTATGGAGCAGCATTGTTGAGCCGAGTCTTTGAACAGCTTGCTTGTTATCGTTAACTTCTTTATTCATCCATATCTACATCTCCCTGTATGATAAGAAAACATAGGAGTTAGATATTAGCAATAGCTCAGTTCATAATTATGATGACTTTTTAACCTGTAATTTAGTTGATGACTGTATACAGGCATCCCAGCCACTTTTTAGACAAATTTGATAGGAAATAAAGGCTGTGCAAGTTCTAAATATAGGAAAATATAGGATTTTTTTCCCAAAAATATTCACTTTATAGGAGCTAAGACAGCTTTTCAGTGGCGTAACCAGGGATTGGGAGGGTGCACAGGCAATGATTTGCAGAACTAAAAAGCCATAAAAAAAACAGAACCAAAAAAAAAGGGGTCATTTTATTTCCTTCGCCAAATAGGCTATTTATAGGATCCTATACAAATTATAGGAAATATAGGATATATAGGAGGTCTGGGATGCCTGCTGTATAGTACCCTCGTACTATTGGTTTACACCATATAGAGGTTTTAAATGTGACATTAATCATATAGTCTCGCTGACTAAAAACTGTCTTTTTAAATATTCCAATTGCTTATGTTGGAGGGTTAATCATTGAGAGCAGTACTTGTAGAAATACAAGAATGCTTCTGATAGCTCCTGGATACTCAGATACTTCACACTCGGTGTATAACATATATTGCAGCTAAAAAGTTAATATACTGTAATCCCAGCTTTAACCTCTTGCCCTCCCAAGGCATGCATCAACGTGAGCTACATGTATATACATGTATATACAGGATGTCTTGGTTGTTTTCAATCCCAATAATAAAAAAAAACCAGTTGTTGAAAATATATTGGYGCTAAAAATAATATACTGATTGACTTAATATTTGACCTCTAAAAAGATTTTTCACTCTCCATGTTTGCTTGGATATGGCAGTAAGAATGATGATACTGCTGCCATAAGCTTCAAGCTTGAAACATCTGACATACTATAGGAACATTCATTGGCTGACAAGGGAATTTCAGGAGAAAAATGACACCGCAAGATGGCATGTAGTGATCAGTGAAGCTCGTTGATAATACTCTTTCGTTTAATTAATGGGTTTGCTGCTCTTAATGATTCCGTTTTTTCCATGTGATTCTTTAACATATGAACGCATGTGAAATGTGAATATTACATGGGTGCTTGGAGATACGAAATTTACCTTCGTGTTGAAAATCTCTCACTCRTGAGAGATCTTTTCAACACTCTCTGCTCGCCCAAGTAATATCCTATTTTCATAATAATAAAAAGCTTATTAAGTTGATTTTATGGATAATTATATAATAAACAGAATATTTCATGGGCACTTGGATATACGAAATTTATCTTCATGTTGAAAATCTCTCACTCGTTCACTGAGCTCACTCGTGAGAGATCTTTTCAACACTCGACAAATAAATTTCGTATCTCTGCACACCCATGTAATATCCTCTATGCACAAGTCATCTTTAGCCAATCAGTGCACACATTTATGATGATGATAATACAATGTTCAGGTGATATAATGAAAGACTTACATCACGATAGGCATCAAGTTCGGCATCAAGTTCTTCAGCAGTTTTATTAGTTTGTCTAAAACCACCTCCTCCTCCCCCTCTACGTCCTCGTCCACGGCTTCTTCCTCTGCTCCTTCCACCACCACCACCACYTCCACCACCTCTTCCTCTGCTTCCACCACCACGACGTTCTGATCTTCCACCAAATCCTCCACCAAAACTTCCACCACTGAAAAAATAAGAAKGATTTGATGTTAACATGAGCTATGTGTTCTCTAAGTGCAAAAAAAACTAGGGAACCCAGGTGGCATGTCTGATAATGTACTGCTTCTTACAGCAAAAATAAGAATGATTTGATGTTAACATGAGCTATGTGTTCTCTAAGTGCAAAAAACAAAAAAACTAGGGAACCCAGGTGGCATGTCTGATAATGTACTGCTTCTTACAGCAAAAAYAAGAATGATTCTATGTTAAAGTGCCTATAACCTTTATAGGATTATGATCAATTTTGATTTTCTGTGTGTTGGAGATGAATAAACATAAAAWTTTTTTTCGATTGACTAAATATTCTCGGAGATATAACGCCCTAAAGTATGCAGTTTTGCCACGCCCCATCGATTTGGATGGGATAAAGGGGAACTGGGACCGAACAGAGTCTCGCTGAGTGGTGACGTCACAACAAGAACGAATGTTTTGATAAGCAAAGATTCTTACTAGTTCTTCGGTCAGAATATGAGAAAATGCCGACTAGATGTGTTGTTGCTGGGTGTTCAAACAATCCAGATTTTACGAAAGGTATTTACTCGCATAAGATCCCATTTCATAACGACAATCGCCCAGAAGCAAAGTCCAGGAGGAAGCAATGCATTGATTTTGTGAAGAGAAAGTGAGCAAATTTCAACCCCGCCATATGTTCTACACACTTCCTACCAGAGGATTATAATCAGAGATTTGATTTTGTCTCGAAAAATCGTCCTCAGTTAGCTAAAGATGAGTTGGGACTGTTGCCATCCCAAGGATTTATGTCAGCAACCATGAAGAGCAAACCAAACTGTCAGATCGTAATCGCCAAAAGGTAAGTGTCGCTGGTCAAATCTCCAGGAATGTTTACTTGTTCGATAGTTCTAATTCTCTGATTTTATTTTTCAAACTGTTTTTATTATCTATTTTCCAAAGGTTTTAAAAGATGCCATTGCCTCCGTGTCTTCACCAAAAGAAGTTGAGTTGCCCGTGTGAGAAGTAGTCGAACAACAACAATTTTAATCTAATACAACATATTGGTGGCTAGTTGTAGGAAAAAACATAACATATATTTTATTTGTTGTACTGAAACTGTGTCAGTAAAAGGTATTATTGAGCAAAATATTGACTAGTTTTTTATTATTGCATGCATCTTACTTACGTAATACCTACAACATAGAATGATGATAATAAAGTCAAACTTAATAACCCAAATTTTTGTTTGTTTGTTTGTTTGTTTGTTTTTTTTGAGGATGGTTGTCAATTCAGTAAGTCCTATTTTTAAGTAACTATAAAACTGGGGCCAGCTATAAACAATGAAAGAAACTAGCATGGAACTATTTGACATGATAAAACCCAAGTGTCATAAACTTCTTCATCAGAATATTTCTGTTCGGGACATCCATGAACGGCTTCGTCTAATTCTTCGTCCTCGAGGTCGTAAATACTCTCATTCTTGTCGCTTTAATCAAAGTATTCATCAGCATTATCAATGGATTCCATCTCACAGCCTTTCTTTGACAACTGGTTAATTTCAAAGATTCAAAGAGGCAAATAAAGCGACCAAAACAGGTAAAAACACTGGAAGGAACAGCCAAGCTCTACTTTGTTTTACTTATTGGAAGCTGAGTCGTTCTTGTTGTGACGTCATTCGACGCCAACTAGGTACCAGACCTCGTGATCCCGTCCAAATTGATGGGGCGTGGCAAAACTGCGTACTTTAGGGCGTTACATCTCCGAGAATATTTAGTCAATCGAAAAAGTTTTTTTTGTTTATTCATCTCCAACACACAGAAAATCAAAATTGATCATAATCCTATAAAGGTTATAGGCACTTTAACATGAGCTACGTGTTCTCTAAGTGCAAAAAAAACTAGGGAACCCAGGTGGTGTGTCTGATAATATACTGCTTCTTACAGCAAAAATAAGAATGATTCTATGTTAACATGAGCTACGCGTTCTCTAAGTGCAAAAAAAAAAAACAAAAAAAAACACTAGGGAACCCAGGTGGCATGTCTGATAATGTACTGCTAGAACACTAAATCCAGAATCGTTTTCATTTTATTTTCTTATTCAAAAATGTTTTAATTCCTTTTGTAGTCACAAAATAATCATGTTCATACTCTAGTTTTGAGTTCTTTCTTGCTCAGGATTAGCCTAAATCATTATGTGTGGAATATTCAAATATTTCAGTGGAAATTGTTCATGGAATTTTAAACTTTTTGTATTGTTTAAGTGTTGTATTCTGTATTAATTCTTACCATTGACTAGTATTTGCATTTTTGAAAATTTTAAAGCTGAAATAAAGCTGACACTGAAATGGAAATTTGAGGATGCAATACCTGTTGGACCTTCCCTACACCATAGACAGAAAGTCATAGAATTCTTAATAATTTRGAAGAATTCTATGCAATTAAACCATTCAAAAGGATGATCAATGTATTATGGCATTTAATAATTAATGAAATATAATTATCACACTTACCCAGATACTCTTGTTGTGTCCGATACTACTAGTTCAATCTTCATTGGGCGTCCTTAAAAACAAAAGTAAGAATTCACATATTTATTAATACATCTGACAGTGGTTGCCTTGTTTCCAAGAGAAAAGGGATTCTATTGTTCTGCTGTACATTATACTCTTGCTGTGTCCGACACTACTAGTTCAATCTTCATTGGACGTCCTTAAGGAGGTTGGAAAGTGTTTTGTGCCTTCACATACACTTACAATTATGAACTAAAAAAAGTTAATATGGCTATAATGTGACAGCAAGTAAACCAGGAAAGCCAAAGACAATTAACCAAAGATCACAATAAGCATGAAAAAATGACGTCAGGCATTGCTATGACAACATCAGAACCCTCCGTAGGCCATCAAAAATGTTCATTTAAAAATCATAACTCAGGAACCAAGTGGTGAATTTTTTTCAAAACCGGAATATTTAAAGTCTGTATTGTAATCTTCATTTATGGGGGAAAAAAAGAAAAAACCTGTAATAGGAAATTACAGGTACAATAAAATTTGTTTGGAATAGTTTCCTCTTACCGAATTTTTTAAATTTTTCCTTAAGTTTTCAAAGACATAAACTAAAGCCATATGTAAAATTTGAAGAAATTTGACCACAGAGCTTTTGATTTTTTCAGTTTGAATATTAAAAATTTATATAGCGCATGTGCGCTCAAGAAAAACCGTATCAAGCCTCCTCAAAAACAAAAGTAAGAATTCACACATTTATAAATACATCTGACAGTGGTTGCCTTGTTTCCAAAAGGGATTTTATTGTTCTGCCATCTAACCACAGGCAGTCCATGCTGGATTATGGTCTCAGATCATGCAAAACCTCTATTATCTGATGACTGGCCATTATTTTTAGCCAAGGTAAACATGTTTATAGGTGAACTACACATACAAACACTTTTGACAAGATACAGTACATGAAAATCAAGAATTCACTATGACAGAAATGTGAGCAAAACCATAGCTGTACTGTGACCATGCTATATTTAAATACCATAGCCATAACTATGCATTGTGATTGGATTTATTACTGGAAGACGACTAAAAGTGTTATAGCATGTCGTACCATGTACATGCTGTAAGTCGGTATCATATTCTTCCCACTCATAAAAATGGCTCTAATTAAAGCAGATACATGTAAATAGATATAAACCTCACCATCTAGAGGCACCCCATTATACTGTTTTAAAGCTTTTTGTGCATCTTCTCTGCGTACATAGATGACATCTGCTGTACCAAGCGATCTACCAGAGGCATCATAGTGAACACAAGATTTCTTTAATTCTCCAAACTCACTAAATAATTCCTAAAAGAAGAAAAAGTAGGAGTTGATATGGTGCTACTGTTATGGTTAACAGAATGCTACAATGTCCTTTACAGAGCAATGCACAAAAGTATGACCACATTCATTCTATTCACATATTTCTATACACAGGCCTTTTGCTTCCAAATGAGTGTATACATGCATTATTAATTTTGGTAAAACCAGCCAGCTTCATATTGAAATGTGTCAGTTTAACGCACAAAAGCCAGTGCAAAGAACTATGAAATAAATTAAATGTGGTCCAGTAATACATTTGTGTGTTGCACTGTAAAGTTTTCTTCACTTATGTAAAGCTTGCTGGCAATAGCAATAGCAAGATTTATGGGTTTCACCGTCCATAACTTAGTTTTTGATTAGCATTTCATGAAAGCAAAATCCTTGCCAATAACATTTATAGAGGTTTTGTATTAACTCCTGAAATACAAGAGACAGGCTTTTTTGTGTATATCATTGCCAGCAAGGCAAAACAAGTTCATTTTTGATGTTTACACTCTGGTGATTGTAACAATAGATGCCTAACTTTTAGTGAAATGTGTGTTGTTTTAGTATTTCATTGTGTGAATGGTCAAAAAGTTACATTAAATCCAAAGCCTCCTAGCATATGTTGGGGTTCATGTTACATCATAGCCAAGATGTTGGTTGACGATAACAAATCATTCCTCATTAGCTTCTCTTATTAGATCAACCAAGATGGCGGCTGTTTTATTATTATCTATATCTCTAGGGTCTTGAGTCATGTGTTGGGACCCCAAGAACAATTGCAAAAAATGTCAATTGCCAAAAGAAACCTGGTTTTCCTCCTGGATTTCAAGGAATAAATCAAACAGGACTTCAGAATATAAAAGAAAGTATATTATAGAAAAAAATACATATTTACGCTGTCTGGCCCAGACTGAAGACTGAAGTAGGCAAAGCAAGAATGTTTATATTTTAGAGTAAAAGAACAAAGCAAGTTATAAGGATACATTAAGATTCTTTAAGAATGGCTACATATATGTAATTGAGTCAAAATTAAAAGTAGATTTACAAATCAAAATCAGAGTTTCATATAAAACTTGAAAAAGTTCTCAAGAAGTTGAAAAAGGCACTTGAAAAATTTCTACAATGTGACCTTATCAATAATTGATATATAACCTTTTGATAGAAGTTTTCTTTAGTTCACAAGTAGAGATACAAGTTTTTACAAATAAATTGATTAAAATTTGTTCTTAAAATCAATCGGAAAATAGAATTGAGTTCACGAGAAGAAGACAATGACATTCACTCCAAGTGATTGTCAGAAGCTGGAAAATTCTTCACAAAACTTTGTAAAATTTCTTGGAAACTACGGTACAAATGGAGAAATTTCCCCTCATTTGAAAGAATAAAAGCAGTGTGGGAAGTACTGTTTGTGTAATTCAAAGTTCTACTAAATCTTACCGCAATATCCGAGTCTGATACTCCAAAGTCGAGGTTTGATATGCTGAGCTTGCTGCCAGTTGACAAGCCACCAGAGCGTCTTCCTCCGCCACCGCTAAAAAGACCGCCTTTTGCGTCGTCAAATTTATCATGCTGCCATCTGTCTGGGATATCTTGTGACTAGCAGGACAAGAATAACAGAGAGGGGTAATTCAGAATACTGGTAAAACGGTGTTTAGAGAAAATGTTGACCGTAAGAAGAAGTTAGAATGTGGTAGAATGTCAACTCAACTAACTCGTGTGTAAGGAGCTGAACGGTTCCTATTGCCTCTTCCTCGTCGAATTGCACCTCCTCCGCCGCTTACACCTCGTCTTCCTCTTCCTCCTCCACCGCGTCCACGTCCACCTCGGCCTGGTTTTCTGCTCTTTTTTATAATATCGTCCAAAGACATATCAACTTCGTCTTCCGCCATGTTGAACCGCGTGGATGGAGTGACGCCGGGACTAAATTATGGGATAGACACGTGGACAAAACTATATATGGGGGAGGGGAGGGAAGGGATTGAGTACTAGCCACAGGGAGACCAATTTTGAAGAAAACTCACACTTAAAAAAACAAAGAATATCGAATGAATTTTTTTTGATTTTTGCAAAGTGAAAACAAGATAATCTCATAATCTAGTTAATATTTAATGGTTTTGCACATTAACCAAGCAATTGGTGAGGTTTCAAAAATGATAAAAAGATAAGCTACGAACAAGAGTTTGATTCTATTGACTAAGATAGGATTCATTTTCAGTCATAGCTGCGGTTTTCGACTCGGTAGTTGCGAGCTGCACGCTGAAAATTGCATTCTCACTGCCATCCTTTTTATCTTCTTGACTAGCGCAGGTCGCTGCATTCCTTGGGTACCCTGATTCGTCCCCAGTCGTCTCTCACGCGCGCAAAGGGTCAAGGGAAAGGAAGAAGGAAGAGGAGACGTCTCTCTTCTTTACCCCTTCCCTTGACCCTTTACGCGCGCTCTTACAATAAGAGGCGACTGAGGACGAGTCAGCTTGGGTACCCAAGATTCAGAAAAGGGTTATTTACTCTCGAAAGAACTTGGGCCAAACTAAACCCATAAATGACAACTACGAACCTAATAAGACATTTGCATTATGGCGTCATTTAACTACAATTACCACAATCCCTTGCACATGCACTTTCACTCATTGTCTTCTATACTCATGTATGATGCAAATTTGAATAAGAAAGAAAAGTCGCGAGGTATTTTGGTAGTAGTAGTAAAATAAAGCAATCGTGCTAACGGTAATTAGTTCATCTTGAGTTGTCTCGGCCAAAGAAGCTTAAGTGTTKTCTTAAACCTTTTCCAATGTTAGCCTGCCCAAAGCTACAATTTTTTTTTACTTAGTAGCTCTTCATAATATTTAATATCGACGCAGGTTCGATCACCCTGGCAAATTCCTGGATCCGCCCTCCCAGGGTGATTAAAATGGAGAGAGCTTGTGAAAGCTACGTCAGATAAGTCAAGGTGCTTAGATAACAACGCTCTTCCAGCAACAATTTTGTTATGACGTTATGACAGTCTGTTGTTGATAGATTATTTTCTTTCTTTCTTATCCATGTCACGTTAGTTGTTATACGTGTATCTGCTGTAAATCGTATCAATTTGTATATGTTGATGTAGGTATGGGGTATGTCCACACGGACTACGAGTCTATCCATGCTCTGTTGAAACTATTAAATAAAATAAAAATAAATGTCGAACGTTTGACGGAAAACGCCTGACGACTAGCTGCAGTTTTTGTGTACCTATAAAAACGTCGTGTTAAAGGTCTCTAATGTCCCTAGACCCCGTTACGCACTAATCATCACAAAACAATTCCCCTGAATTAGTGAATATTTTTATTATATACATAAAATGACAATGATTTAAACTGAATTCAGCGCTGCCGCTTTCCTTCAACAGTAAATATAGGTTATCAGTCTCATCGTTAAAATCCAAAATATAATCTGTCAAGAGTAAAACATGCACCTCAGCTGGACTGTTTTTGGAATACCTGTGGATCCAGCCCCTAACTGTTCTGATAGAAGCTTAATTTCCCCCTTACTACTCAAGCAAAAGAAAAATACGATTTCAAATACTTAGGATTACAGAAATATTTAGGATTACTTTTGAAGATTGTCGGACAATTGATACATTAGTGAAGAACAAGAACTAGTCGAAGGAGATGAGCTGTAGATCTGATAACTGACGTTGAGGTGGTGGCCCTGATGGCTGGTGCTGTGGAGGCTGGTGGTTATACTGACCACCTGTCTGGTATTGCTGCGACTGGGGTTCATACATTTGTTGTGGATGCTGTTGTTGCGGTGATGCATAACCACCTCCAGCATTTGGTTGTCCTTGCATCTGTGGCGGATGCCCTTGCATTTGAGGTGGCTGACCTTGCATTTGAGGAGGCTGACCTTGCATTTGAGGAGGCTGCCCTTGCATCTGTGGACTCTGCCCCTGCATCTGAAGCGAAGGGTACGCACTAGATTCAGGCTGTGGAGCACTCATTGGGGGCTGCTGGTACTGTGGCGGCATGGCAGGTTGTTGTTGATTGTTATATGATGTCTGGGGTGGTGGTTGTGATTGTGGTGGAATAAACTGCTGGTTTCCTTCATATGGTGGTAGTTGCAGTTGCTGTGGAGGGTGACTACCTGCCTGTGCGTACAGCTGTGGTTGGTGTTGAGGTAGCGATRGAGCAGAGCTTGGAGCTGAAGCATAGAGCTGTTGGTTTGGGTGAGGTTGTCCAGGTGTAGCTTGGTATCCACTGTAAGGCACCTCTGGTCCCAGTTGCCTCTGATATTCAGGAACTGGGTGTCCATTTGCTATTGACTGTGTGTCTGTCACCTCTGATCCATATGGTGCATACTCCACCTGGGAGTAGGATGGTGGTGCTTGGGTTTGGCCGCCGAACTGTGGTGAATTTGACCTTACCGAGCCGTCCCTAACACCTGGGTACGCCTGTGGAGTATATCCTTGTTGGTACTGTGATACAGGTTGTCCATAGGGTTGCTGGCCTCCTTTCAACATTTCACTGGGTACCCCAGGGGCTGTTGGTACCCCAGAAGTGGGTACATGATTCATCGAAGAATAAGGACTTCCATCAGTTTGGGTAACTCCTCCAGGAGGGGGCATAGGAGCAGCAGGCATGTACCCCATGGAAGAGTAAGGACTGCCACCATCGGTTGCCGCTACATACTGTCCTGCATATTGCTGCGGCATATACTTTTGGTATTTCAGCTGTTGATGCTGTTGCTCTAAGGCTAGCTGCCTCTCTGTCTGTAGGCGCTGTTGATAAGCCATGTACTCTGCTTTCTGTTGCCGCATCAGTTCTAGTTTCTGTTCGATCTGCATGCGTCGTAGCATGTCTTGCTCCAGCTCTTGTTGTCTGACCTTCTCTCGATGTTGTTCTCTGGCTGCTTCGAGGGTCACACGTGCATCTTGCGCCAGCGCGAGTTTTTCTTTTATTCCTTCATATTTACCTTTTGATCATAAACGAATTAGGCTTTAGAGAATATTTTAAATGAGTAGGAAAATCATGATGTCTTAAGACTCCCGAAATATACTAATACAACCATCTCCCGATACATAACCATCACGATATACAACCATCCGTCCCTGTACGGGACGCAATACCACTACATTCTATATTTACAACGTATATACAACACTCAACTCGCATGTTGATTTTTATGCAGGGAGGAAAAACTACTACAACAACAACAAACAAAAAGGTCGTCACGCAGCGATACTCTTGTCGTTGCGTGACAAAGTGATGACCATAACGTTTGAATAGGAGGGTACTTAACAGATGGAGACCAAATCTTATCGACCACTGCTCCATGAAAAACGTGAGTTTAAATCCTACCTGTCTCGTCTTCTTGCTGCTCAATCAACCTTAAGAGCTGCGGGTGCATTGCGCTTACGGTCTGGAACAACGACTGCAAATAAAGAAAAAAAATGACTTACTTATACTCAAACAATTGACCAAATCCACTTAGGCGTAAGGAAAGGTAAGACCACTTTTAAAAAGGTTACACTGAATCCCCCAACCCTACCCTCAGTAAGAAATGTACCTCCCCTAATGTTTTTCCATTTCAAACCAGATGACATTCGCTTGAGAATAAGATTTACTTGCTTGGCAACAATCAAGACATATAACAACAAACGGAAAGGGCACAGGACCTTTTCTGAACAAACATGGTGCATTCGGGTATGGCTTGGGTACAAACATCTTTTGTTCGTCATGTCTTATGTTGTTGTTGTTTGTACCCAAGCTAGACCATGATGCACCTTGTTTGTGAAACTCAAAAGTGATAGGACGCAAATGATTAAGTGACGTGTTATTGCATAGAGTATTAGTGTACCTGCACAGTTGCATCCATGGCAATATGCTTGCCCTTGCCAGAGATGGTCTGCATTCGTTCTGCAAGCATTTCTATGCTGCTGCGGAAATTACTGATCAATGTTTCTGAACTCTGTTCCACTTCATTTACTGGTTCTTGTACCTGGACCTGAAAGGGACAGTGATTTAGTATTGGTCTCGTATTGAAGAAATAGAAAGCGCGCGCGTGCTTTGTGTAGTTTTAAAGCACGCGGGGGTTGGCAGCACACGAGAGAAGAGTTAGGAGAAGCACGATGCGTAGCGGAGTGCTTCTCGACACTTCTCGAGTGCTTTGCCAACCCCAAGCGCTTTGTAACTGCACACAGCACAGCAATTAAGTTTTTTATTTCTGTTATAAATACAAATTAGAATAACCGTTATTTTAGAGAGGAATGACCCACCTGAAAGTGTGCGTGCGTGCAGTGTGCTCTGATAAAGCATGTGCTCTCAACCAATCAAAACGCGAGATTTAGAAACGTTTTTTCCTAACATGTATACTACTTCATAGAAGTCTACACATGACAAATCAAAAATCTGATCGCATGCAAAGACTTTGTGAATATTTTTTTCAGGGATTAGGGATCTCTCCCGTTAGGTCCCTTGCCTACCAACTCAAACCACTTACAAGGTTGTGATCATAAAAGCGAAGTAGTTTTGTTATTTCTTGACTGATGTATTTCATAAAGATATCACCAGCCAAAACAAGTCACTATTTTACGAATTTTATTAATATTGTCCCCCTCTGAATAACAAATTGTTTACGCCCACTGGGAAGGTTTACTTCGTATTTTCTGATCCCACATTCGCGTTTTAGTTTCCTTTTTCTGCATATTGTCTATGTTACCTCAAGTTAATTAGTTATACTAATATCATTAACAATTAATGACATTTTAGTGTATTTAAATTTAGTCAATTAGTAAGTCTAACTGTAGATAAAAGACCTTGTAATCAGTTAATCATCAGTTGTTAGTTGATTTATTATTATTATTATTAGTCATTATTAGTATTAAACTGTACTAACATATTTATAAGAAGCTTTATCCAAAAACTTGTTAGAACTATCTCTGATTTTCTGATCATTCTTCTTTTTCTTTTTTCTTTTAGTTGTTATCCTTTGCTGGGAACAACAGCAACAGACATGTTTTAAATTGATTTTTCTTGGAAAATAAATCTTTTGGTTTCCTTTTTGACCCATCTAAAAAAGGTTAACAGTTAATGGAGCAGACTTTTTCTTAATACAATCTTAAGAATTCATTTTGTCTCCATCTTTAAACCTCTTTGCAGATCAACGCTAACTTTATTACTGAATCAAGCTATTTTTTAATCACTAGATATTTCCTGAATAATTCCCTTGAGTGACCCGAAAACAATGACTGCAAGAACAATGCTTGCTACAAGCCTTGTACTCAAAGGAGCCTTTAATTAATATAAACTTACTTCGCTATGGTTGGTGTAAGGTGCCGGTGAGCTAGGTACTCTTTCGTCAGCTTGGGCTTCTGGAGCTGAAGGTGATGTATACCCTGTTGACTGTTGGTCTTTCCTGCCTTCCCAGTACGACCTGTTTAAGTACCTTGCAAGCTGTTATGTAATGAACATGACAAGTAAGAAATTGTGGGATTGTCACACTTTGTCCCACTACGATTAAAGGCTACTTAACAATTAGACCTGCATCTTGAATGGACTAAGAGTCAATAGCCAATGAGGCAGAGGGCCAAATAAGCTATTTACTTGTAGAAGATGAGCATGAGGTCTCATTGTTTTAGTACAAACCTTATAATCCACATCAAATAAATGAAATACAAACAGTTTGAATTACATTGAAATAATTTACTTTTTGCATTGTTTTGTTTGTCAAGACAGGCTCTTTTTGCTACTAGTGGTCTGTCACTAATACACCACTAGTAGCTCAGCCAATCAGAGCACAAGATTTGTGTTAGACCAATAGTAGGTGTGTGTACTTACATCAGGGTCCACATCAGAGTCAGCTTCTACTTCATATGTCTATTAAGCACACAGAAAAACAAAGAAAAATGCATTTCAATGTGTCCATAACAACAAACGCATTACATTATTTGCTAAAGTAGAATTAATCTATAGGTCATGTTTCTCTTTACGCCCCTTTTGTGCTTTATGCGTGCAACAGAATACAAGGTAAAAATAAAATATTTTTTGTGCCTGCGAGAACAAATATTAGACATACAAATGATAATGAAATGAAAGAATGATGAGAGGTGAATAAAGAAGTTCAAATTTGAGTTCCAGATGGGATTTGAACACATGATCTTCTGTAATTTAGTCAGACACTCCAACCACTGAGCCACTGGGAACTATAATGTTAAGCTAGGTTTTGTATAAGTTATATCTGATATGAACTGCAATCCAGCAGTTATCATGACATGGGCTAGCTAACCATTAGTGTTCTCAGTGCCTCAGTGGTTAGAGCGTCCAGCTAGATTACAAAAGGTTGTGTGTTCAACACCCATCTGAAACACTGATTTTTCTGAGTTCTTTCTCTTCACCGCTTGCCATTCATTCATTTCATTCATTCTGAGTTTTTCTATATGATTCCCTGATTGTGCCTTTTGTAATCCACATGTAAAATAGTTTGATTCTGAGATGTGACCATCATGACTGTCAAGAATATCAAGGGCAGTGTATGATAGTGAAGGAATTTTGAGAAAAGGGTTTGTATGTTTACATTTTTGCTCAAAAATTGCCTCATTTCTCAGCTTGCCAATGATCAACTCTTGACAGGAGTCATCAATAGACCTCATCGGCTCTGACGTAATGTTGTCCCATTTCAGACCACATGTCATTCCCTAGAGTACCATTTCTTTGTTTAAGGTTTGCACTCAGTTGCACATGAGAAGACACATGAATATGGATACAAACTCAAACAAAGAATATTATTCTCAAGGGAATGACACGTGATCTGAAATGGGAAAACATTATGCTTGAGCCAGGGAGGTCTATTCTTGGAAGATCTTGGAATCAAGCTATTCTACTATTTTTACTATTTTTATAGTGGGCTTCCTGTGGCGAAACTTACGGGTGGAGCAGAATATATTTTATTGTGTGTCTTCCTGTTATTGGATGGACTGCTGGACCCGTTAGATGACCCACTGTACCCTGAAGGCCAGGATCTTGACACTGGTTTCTAGTAGGAAAAATATAGCATTCATTTGTTCACTTCATAATTCATTCATTAATCCATTTCACTTATTTATTTATTCATCCACTTATTTAATCATCCACTCTATTTATTCATTTCAATCAATCATTCATTCACTCATTGATGTTCATTCATTTATTCATTTGCATTCATTCATTTGTTTACTCATTCATTTTCGTTTTTATCATGCATTTATTCATTCACTATGCATTTCATTTCATTCACTTGTTCATTTGTTGGTTGGCTGGTTAAATGGTTTTTTGTTTGTTGGTTCATTCATTCATTCATTTGTTCATTTATTTGTTTGCTGGTTAGTTGGTTTTTTTGTTTGTTGGTTCATTCATTCATTCATTTGGTTCATTTGTTCGTTAATATCATATCCTTTGTTTATTCCCCAGCTTAATAAATGTTAAAAAGAATGATTTTTTATCGATTTGTGCCTTTCCATGCAACTTTTGCAACTGATCCTATTTATCAGCTACCAACCTCTTTCTGTGCCTCTTCTTGGGATAAAGACAAAGCCATTGCCAACTGCAACTCTTCCTCTTCTTGTTCTTTCACCAGCTGTGGATCCAGCTTGGGAGGAACCTAGATGACCGTCAGGTAAAACGATATTAGTTAGTGAATGAAGTATTAGTTATTACTAGTGATATGGATCTGAAACTATCCCTAAATAACCCTTCCCTAGGACTGCCACACCCTTGGGAAGAGACTGTTAGGCACCCTACACCAAGAATTCCAAGAATACCCTACTGAGATCCTCACCCTTTCCTGGCAATAATTCTTATATCTCTTTCATTAATTCTGAATGAAAGAGGTATAAAACTAAGGAATCGTTCATTTTTGTATTGGGGAGGGGGAGTAGCCTGGGCAGAGAGTTTTGCTTGGTTATACCCATGCAAGAAATCTACTTGCCTCTCTGCTGTCACAAAAAAATGGCCCCTCCATTGTTTTCCATTCTGTTTATTGTTAAATTGCCCTGCAACTAAGAATTTTTTTTGTGGCCCTCCTCTTGATCCTGATGACCCCTCCCCCCACATCCCACTGGCGCCCCTCCCAATAGTAAATAGATGAAACATTTTGTGACTGGATTATAGAGTGAAGTGGGGGGGGGTTTAGCCTCACAGTTTTTGCCAATATCCAGTTTACAAATCTCAGCCCCAAACTTTTAGTCAACCTATACACTACCTACTATATTTTTGAATCCAAACTCTCTCTCCCACTTTTAAGGGTACTCTAATATTAACATCCATTCACCTTATCAATTATTTAAGAAAAGAATGAATACTTTTAAGGGTACTCTAACATTAACATCCATTCACCTTATCAATAATTGTTATAATTATTATTTAAGAAAAGAATGAATGCAGGAACTGTGGGCTTTGAAATAATAACATTTTTTRCTCCATAATCAACTTCTTTGCACAAAGGATAATAATGAAACATTACCTGGGCTTCTTTAATAAGAGTGCTGTTCAAATATTCAGGAGGAAGATCACTATCCTGGGACTTCTCACCCTTCTCGCCTTTCTCTCCCTGAGCTGATTTGCTACAATAATACCATATGTTAATTGAGATCAAAAAAAAAAAAAAGATGGGGGATACTCTAGGTTTGAATTCACTGTTGCTTAGGGTTAGCCTCAACTTTGTGTAAATTATTCATGTGTTCCAGTGAAAATATGTGGTTTTTTAAAGAGTTTGTATATTTGAACTTGTGCAGTTTTAATTTATCATTGGCAGGGCTTAAAATAACAGGTGATCAGTCACCAGGCATGATTACCAGCCAAATTAGTTTTAGCTTGGTCATACTAGCTTGGGTAAACGTTACTGGTAAAAATGACCAGCAAGGCAAARATTTGACCAGACAAATTCCAGTTTTGGTTGGATATTGTCAGATGTCTAGCCATTTTTTAAAGCCCTGCACTGGTATTTGTAGCTTGCATTTGAATTTGACATGAAACTAATCCCAAGTAAATGAATGCACAATGAGAGTTTTGAAATTCATATTCTAAATAAGGCTAAGTTAAACTTGACTTGTTCTTATGATATACAACTCTGCTTGTATGATACAGTATTTCTTCATACCCTTTTGGATTCAGCTTAAAATAACACGGATCACAAACTCTGACTTCTTTCTCGATGCCAAACTGAGGAATTATAGACTCTTTTGATGAACACTTCTTACAGAACACTTGGCCACAATTGCGGCAATGATGCTAAAGATAAGAAACAATAGTTAATATATATATATATAATGTGCAAATTAGAATGTGTATAGAGAGCACTTAGTACCTGTCTGATAAATGTGCCAAACTTGACTCGACACATATGACAAACGTCACCTTCAGCCCAGGCTGGTGCCTAAAGACAACAGCAAATACAGAAATGTAAACATTACCATAATATAAACTAAGTCTTACATCTTACCCCTATTTTGAAAAACATTTAAAAAATTTTCACTAATTTTGTTTCTTCAACATTTTAATTTATTCTGAGTTTTAGTTGTTCATACTGAGGTAAATTATACAAAATTTTGGCACCATCAACTTCTCAGTGCTCATGTGGATAGTTCTTTTATTGGGAGGCTCAAGTGGTTGGATTTTTTTTCTGGCTCAAAACAGTTAAATAAATCCCTTAGTTTGTAACACTTACACAATCAGCTGAAAACATGGCATCACTTTCTTTGAGAGTTGGAAATTGAAAACCTGTACAACAGTAAAATGAACAAGATATTCTGTAGGCTGAAATGTATTTATCAATATTTATTATGGGTGATATTTATCAATATTGGAGTTAATTCTTTTATCATATGTCAGGCATCAAGAGTGGTGTGGTAGTAGTGAACTTGGCTCTCTCCTCTGAGAACTCCTGGACTCCGCATCGATTCCTGGACTCAGCATCAAGAGTCCAGTGTGAGTAGAGATTGTTATGTCTTTCCCTTGATTCAAGGGTTTTTCTCTAGGTTCCCTAATTTTCCTCCCCTTTTGCAGCAAGCATAGCTCAGTTCAGTGGCAGAATTAGGGGGAGTTCACAGGGGGCCAATAAACCCCCTTCAAGATTGGAATTATTTGGTTTAAGTAAACTGTAAAGTGCTAAAAATTGAAGGTGCATCTTCTTAATTCGTACACCCAACCCCCCCCCCCACCCCCCTTGGAATCAGAGGACCAAGGTTCAATTCTCAGGAGCTTTAAATACTCTTAAAACAGAGCACTGATGGAGAGAGGGGGTAAAGTGTGCACTGTTGGCTTCCACTGATAGCAGTTGAACTTCAACTGAAGGAACTACCCACGTTAAATATAGCTATATACCTTATCTTTTACTGCAAAAACCAATGTCAAATTCACATTTAATCTGTGAGTTAGCTGACTAAGATCAACTCAGAGAATTTTTCAGATTATATCACATTAGCAGCTCTTGTCTCACCTTCCATTTTCATGAGATTGTAAGTATCCTGGATGATCTTATACTTTGATTGATTGCGGAATGCATGGGACCAGGTTTGAATGAGACCCAGTGCTATGTCTTTGACTGGTTCAGGGCCATTCTACAATAACAGATAAAATACATTTAACGATGAAAAACCAACCATAATTACTTTTCCCTTTCTTTTTCCGTAAGKAATTTCTATCAACAAACCTTGATCAAGTTTCTCAATTCTTCCATGAACTCCTTAGTGGCAATTTCATCATGGAATGTTGATCCACAGTTCTTTACACAAGCCTCTAGAACCTAAAAATTCAATTGAGAATCTTTTTTCTTTGATACCTTCTTTAATTTATTTCTCTTTTTCTTTTATGTCAGGCAAAACCTAAAGTCACAATATTACACAGAGCAATTTTCTCTGCAACTTGTCTCACAATGGCATTTCTACTCAAGCTGCATGGAGCACACATAGAGACTTTTGCAACTTGTGTTGTAATGCTGTGTGATACAAGTTGAGAGAAAAAATTGCTCTGTGTAATTGCACCTTAACACATACATACTTGACACATGCATGCTAAAAAAATGACAAACTCTTGGAAATTATGTAGAATAGGTTGCTATGAATGATATCATCTCTATGCTAGTATTTAATTTTATCTATCAGCAGAATGGCAAGTTTTTAGCACACTGCAGTATGATCAAGCATGACTAGCAGTAATGGCTGGTAATGAGATGCATGCAACTATTTGATACCAAGTAATACAATGCTCTCTGGTTGATAGAAAGTGACAGCAAGCCTTTGACTGCCATTCATTGTAGGCTGGTAATAAGATTCATGAAAATCATTGAGAGGCATAACAGTAAGCTAGTATAATTTACTCATCAAATTAATATAGTGTTTTTCCTGCTGCTAACAGAAGGCTGGTAGTAAAAGTTATGATAAGATCCATTGAACTTGTTTTCATCAAGCAATAATAAATGCTCAAACTAGTTACCCCTTACAAGCAGTCCCAAATCCACTAATTCCCAAATTCTCCAGTTTTTTATTGCAAATGGTGCAAGAGCTCCATTAACGAGTTGATATACAGAGAAACTGAAAATGGGGTTTCATACAGGTTTAGTTAATTGTCTTATATTTCTCCCCTTGTAAAGTTTACCAATCAACATTATTCAAATGTATCTTAAAAATATCTGTTAGGAAAAGAAATCCAGCTTTGACCCTAGTAAACAATCGAGTAAATGTAAATATCTAGATAAAAGTTGAACACGATAATCATTGTAACTAGTAAATCTAGTAAGTTAATAACACTGAAAAATAATTTTTCAGCTTTATAAACAGCAATTTTATACTTACGGTAAGAGCAAATTTTGATACATGAGGATTTCGATCGAACATCTTTTTCTTGATAGCGGTAACGGCAAATTTAGGCCTTAGAACAAAAAATATGAGCTAAGGACGTAATTTGGGAAGTAGAAATAATGCCATATAGTTTAATTTTTGTACGTGAACATTTTGAAAACAAGAGACTTACGAAACATCTTGCTGTCTGACGCAGTCACAGATCTGGAGAATTGAAGCCCAGTCTGTATCAAGTTGAAGTTGACTTGTAGCTCTTTCTAAAGGGATAATATAGTAAATACAATCAAGGCAAGAACTACTAAAAATTATAATTTAAAACAATTCACAAAACCAAGACAAAGATTGATCTTCAACAGACAAACGAACTTTTAACTTTTAGTTCTAAAATAATACCATACCTAGCAATCCAGTAAAGGTTGTTGTGTTAGAGAACTTTCCCATGGTTTATTAGTCTACGAGATTCAAATATCACAGAGATTTTCTTTTTAAATGTTAGAAATTCCTTGTATTCATCTTTGGCTGTAGTACAACAAATATGGCCGACCCGATATATGCGTCTTCACTTCCTGCGATGACATCACGATTCTAAAATAACTCACCTGAACTCAAAAACGTCACTATTCCCAACGTTCCCCGCGGATCAACGGAAGTAAAAAGTCCGACGATTCTTCAAATCTTCAGTCATTTTTCTCACCCAAAAATTTATCTGAAATATATACATATATATTTGTGTATATTTGAAGCTCAGTTTTGTTTCCGATTCTAATTCAAATAAAAAGTTATATATTTTATTTGAATATTTTTTCGAATGAAAAGTTATGACACAACGTAGTCACATGTCAACGGGATGTGAAAGTCAGCACAATTTCCCACTATGACGAATAGCTTATTTTGAAATAGCGAAGTTTTTATTGGATTTCCATCAGGCGAAGTATATTACTTAGTGCTTTTATCATTTTTGATAATACAAACTCTGCTGAATATCTGAAGGAGGAGATCGGCCACGTTTCTTTCTTTCTTTCTTGATTTTGGATTTTAAATTAGATTTGGCAAAAAGCTTCTTATAGATTTGAATGACACGGGTTCTTTGTTCAAATATTCAGGAAATTGTGGAGATCCATTAGTATAGTAGCAAATAGCACGTCCTCGAGTAAACTTCGCAATTAAAAGGACTGCGAAAGAGCAAATTAGAGTTGACACCCGATATACAGTCAATTCAAAAAACGTTGTCGTCGACCGGCTCAAGCCTACGCGACTAGACCGAAAGAAATATGGGTAAAAATCACTGAAGCGGTTAAATATTCGTTCTGAATTAATTGTCCCCGCTAGAAATAAGATAATAATGGCGAGAAACAATCCATCAAATGCATGTCTTCGGGTTTAGGGAAAGAAAAACAAAGTAGTTATGATTCAGTTCACAATTCCGAAAGTATGAAGGCATTAAAAAACGTTTCCTTCAACACTTCCCGCTCGCCTACGAAGGTTCGTGCTGTAAACCAGGCATAACTAGTCAGATAAAATTATGGAGTCAACTCGGCTTCAATGATTGCTACCCAGAGTAAACGACGTAATAATACTCAAGAGAATGACAAATGATCTCAAATTGGAAAACAGTACAATGAAACAATTATTTTTCTACTATTTTTCTGTTTTATTATTGATTTGAAAGATAAATTTATCGCCTTTAGACGTCAGGTATCTGGTCAACATCAATCTTCCCTGCTGACAGACTGGTCTCCTTTCTTTTTCTTTTGCTGGATCGGCATTCCATGGTCATACTGAAAGCTCTATAAGAACTAAGTCCATTGATAACCAGTCATTTACCTGTCATAAGAAAAAGAGAGAAAAAGTATTTTATTTCGTAGATTATCAAATGGAGGTGGAAGCAAGCATTTGGCGATAGATTTTAGGAATTTTTCTGAAACAGCGAGCGAGTTGCATTGTGGTCTGGTATGGGTAGTAGCTGGTCTTCTAGGACATCGAAAGTGCGCACTCTCCCTTTCCTCCGACCATCGGTGCTACAGTTAAAGGGTATATAAAGCTAACGTTTTACGGGTTTGAGAGGAGTCAGTCGCGAAACAGGTGCGTTAGTTACGAGTGACTGAAGTACAGATGTCATGCACTCATTTACTTAGCTCCCCCTGTACCACCCCTGTACGCAACCTTAGTCATTAACAACTTGTATGGTGCTGACCGTGGATGAACCCAACCTAGCCCAAAATGCATCTGAACTATGTCCCTGACAAAATGACCCTTTATCATCTTCACAAGCTGGTTCAAATCTCCTGGAGAAGACCAGACGACATCCCAGACTTGGTACTCCCGGCAGCCCCGGTGAAGGGTTGGACAGCGATGCAAATGAAAACACCATATGATCTTGCTATGTTATATACATGAACATTTGGGGAGAAGGATTTTCAAAGCCCCCGGTAAACAAATGGCAACAGTAGCGAGGCTTTTCCCAATAATATCTGCACGGTTCCTTACCTGTCCCTTTAAACCACTTCGGTACTTTTGCATTCGAGCCAGCGGCTGCCTGTGTTGGTTGGGCTGCTTGTCTCGCGGAGGAAGTGACGTCACCTACTGGTCTACCGTTCGTACTATTAGCAGTGGTATTGGAGAGATGTTCAGTGTTGGTTGATTGAGGTTCGGCAGGACCACGTATTCTAGATACGGTTGAAATGACATTGACTTTCACGTCGAAAATAAGACTAATACAGCCAAATGTATCTTACCCAGCTTCAAAGACGGTTTTCTCTGCATCCAGTGCTGATTTTAGGTTACCAATAAGAGTACTAGACAAGAAGTGATCTGTAGAAAAGATTGCATTAATATACGATAGTTAATAGCACAACATTGAAATAAATAATGGGAGGGAAATGGAATCCGCTGTCATCAAAGTACTGAACCAACCATTTTCTTTTCTTCTTCCCTTCCCTGCCCTTCCCTGCCCTTCCCTTCTCTTCTCTTCTTTCCTCTTCTCTTCTCTTCCCGTCTCGTCTCCTCTTCCCTTCCTTTCCCTTCCCTTCCCTTCTCTTCCCATCTCGTCTCGTCTCGTCTCGTCTCCTCTTCCCTTCCCTTCTCTTCCCTTCTCTTCCATTCCCTTCTCTTTCCTTCCCTTCCCTTAAAACTCTCCATACCAGAAGGAACTTCAAGCTGTTATCATCGTAAGCCAAAATCAATAGAGTCGTTTTTAAAAGAGTGGGTAATGTGTGGTATAAGCAAGTACAGGGTACAACATGCCTTAACACGGAAATGGTTTCCCATTGACTCAAAGTAACTCATCCAATCACAGAGCGTAGCTACCGGTTACGGTAAGTTACGGTTCAGCTACCATAAGGCTAGGAATTCGACGTACCGTATGCAAAAACCGCCCTATAAGGTGCAGTTTAAATACCTCGTTTCATCGATGAGCCAAAATACACAAGAGATGCGGGGCAAAGTTGGCTCTAAAAACATTGCAAACAATAGTATTATTAGTACATATCAATCTTATAGAACCCTGAAGCGAAAGTGTTGTTACTTACAGCAAACAGCGTTGCTTCCTGGTTCTTTAATACTGTTTTAGGCGGAGTTGTATCTACAGCAAGAAAGAAATTGAATTTCTAGCAAGTGAACTTAGTATACTGCCTTTATTGTCATGTAAGGTATTTATTAAAATATTTTGACGATGATGATGGCGGTGATAGTGGTGGTGATAATAACAATGATGATGGTGGTGATGATGATAATGATGATGATGCCGATGATGATGGAGGTGGCAATGTTGATGTTTGTGATAATGATGGTAATGATGGTGATGTCAAAGCTAGATAATGATAATGATGATGATGACGATGATGGTGATGTCAAAGATAATGATAATGATGATGACGACGATGATGGTGATGATGATGGTGATGATAATAACAATAATAATGATGGTGGCAATGATGATAAAGGTGATGGAGCTGAGACGATAATACCGATGGCGTTAGTTACTCACACAGATAAAATGCTGTGTCTGGGTCTTCCAGATGAGATTTAACAAACTCTGTCAGTACTGACACTACAAGAAAGTAAGAAATCGCAAAAAAAAAGTTAGTGCAAAAAAAAAAAAAAAAAAGTAAACAAAACTTGAACTACATTTAGGGGTCAACTGATAATTTCCAAATGGTTGTTATCATATATATTATTATTCTTTATTATGGGCCAATAGTAAGCTCAAAATTAAAACCCAGAAAAATAAGTAAAAGAAAGAGAGAGAGAGAGAGAGAGAGAGAGAGAGAGAGAGAGAAGAAAAAAGGGTGTAAGTTGGTAAGTTTTTCTTTAATGCCTATACTTATAACTCCTGTTTAGTAACTAGGACTACAAGTATGAAACATAATCTTAATCCCACATGAAGAGTGTCATGGGAAAACGTCAAGACAAACATGTCGTATTGCTGCAGATTGTCGTATTATATTATGGTTTACCTTTTTCTTGAGGTCTGAAGAAACCTTGAAGTGTAAGTCTGTCTGGAAATTTAACACGAATAACAACCTAACAATAGAAAAAGAAAATTGAAATCTCCTTGTAGCGTGTGTGACAAACCCTCTTGCTGTCGGTTCTGTTCTTGAGGAGGTCATGTTCCCGTTTAAGGTTTCTTGCGGGCTGTCGGATTTTAAATTTTATCGAACCCTGAAACGACCTCTGGGCTGATCAAAGACAGGACACGGGTAACTCACAGATTAATACCCTGAACCAACCTCTGGGCTGATTAAAGACAGGACACGGCATGGCTAACTCACAGATCGAAGAGTGAAACAATCTCAGGGCACAACTAATCTATAGATCGAATTGAAATAAAGGCTTTGAGGAGGAAGAAAAACCGTGGAGAACCCAGAGAAACCCCTTTGAATCAAGGCAGAGACCTAGCAAACTCTACTCACATGTGATGCCGATTCTGGGAACAGGACCTGAGAACCAAGTGGTGAGAGGCAAGTACACTACTGCCGCTACACCACCCTTGATTCCACTGAGTGTCAGTAATGAAAAACTAAGGAATCTCCAGCATGCAGACTCTATCCCTTATTGGTTTCTTTCGCCCTTCTTCCTCTAATTGAGATGGCAATCTCTTCGAATCACGTTCCATCCATAGATGGGGAATTTCAAATTTACCCGGGGGATGGGGAGGGGGGGTATCTTTGAGGATATCTCTTAGGGGTAAAATAATCGTCCAACCATGCCCTTTTTAAGGAATCCCGTATCTTTTAGGGGTATTCAAAAACATAATTGGTTTCTTAATCATTTTCTACTTACTTTTTCATATTTATACATTTCTTGTAACCGTCGACTTTCTCTCATGGCTTTAGTCAATAGCGGCATTTCAGCTCCTTTGGTCCTGTGTAGCAAGACAATATAGCTATCGATACTAGAAAATACATCATCTTATTATGTTAAATGCATTTAGACTAAAGGCAATCAACCTGTGAAATAAAAAATACTAGTCAGTGTGTAACAGTCAAATAGACACAAAAGAAAACAATGGAATTAGGGGCTACTAAAGTGTATTAGTGTAATATCTATTGCACAGGTTTAATGACTTCACTCTATCTTGGAAAAGCCATAGAATGCTCCCACTTAATTTGTGAAACAGCACTGAATTTTGAAGATGAAATAATTCAGCATTTCACAGTGAAAGACCCTAATGGGAATTGTCCATGATACATTCCATATTCTAGTTGGATGCTCTATGACTGAGCTACAGGAGATAATGCCCAATACTGGGTTGTTTAAAACTAGTGACTAAATTAAACACTACAAACTAGTGGAATGTTTATTGTTTTCTATATTTTTATCAGTGCATAGTACTGTTTCACAGATCGTGTTTGGGCTCTGAAATATCATTATCAAATAACAACTTATAAAAAATGTATTTGTGTACTGCAGTCGTAACGTATCAAATTGAACTGATCCTCACAGTATATGAAGCAATTTATGCAGCTGCAAATTGAAAGACTCAGAAAAAATTCTGAGTCTTGATGTATATTATAGCTTAAGTTTTGTTTTCTGTGACTTTGAATTTTGACTATTACTTTTACAGATGTTTCAATCAGTGACCACTGATCTTCTTCAGTGTGCTGTTGGTAGGGGGCTAGTCTCCTATGCAGCTGCTATTAGTGTAATCACTCAATGCTCACCCACCTAAGTTAGGGGAGTAAGCATTGAGTGATGACACGAATAGCGGCTGTGTAGCAGACTAGTAGGGACACCCAAATTCAAATGTTGGTAATCGTGTGTGCATAAAAAATAATTCATCTATTGATAATGATCCCGTCCCATTGCATTACACTGGTCTAAGAAGAAGACCATTACCATAATAATAATAATAATATTAATAACAACAACAACTTTATTGGACAGGGTACACCGTTACCAGACTGATAATTTTCAGGCGGCCCTCAATATATGATAAATATACAATATAAAAATATACATATACAATTTTAAAACATTATATAATAGAAAGAGGTTATATTACTCCAAAACCTACTTTTCACTGTGTAGATCCTGTAACATTTTCCTCAAGTCTTCTACTGTTACATCATAAAAAGAATCTGGCACATCTTCTAATGGTTAAGAGATACAAAAACATATCTTATTATAAGAATCCTTTTCTTTTCTTTTTGGTCAAATCTACCAAAAAATGGCAAGTGCGATTTTTTCTCACTATAATTTAGAATCAAGTTGTTCTGATGGTAGGCAAGACTCAAGTCTTACCTTCAGATGCATTGGATAATGTTTGATCATCTTCATTAAATATGACAGGGCAGCGCTCACAAGGTGTGGAAAGCTGTTGTAATCTCTCCTCAGTCATACTGTCAGAGGTAAACAACAACATGTTGATATGTGATATACAGGGTAATGTTGAATAATCTTCATCAAACATGACAGGGCAGTGCTCACAAGGTGTGGCAAGCTGTTGTAGTCTTTATATGGTCCCTGTGTTGCATAATTCTCTACTTTCACATCCCCATAATCCTTTGCGTCTTTGGGGGGTAACCAGAGGGTAAAAACTCACTTATTTTGCTGAAGGCTGATCAGACAAATGTTGAAAATACCTTGTTTGGTATCCAAAGATAAAATGAAGAAGTAAAAAACAGAAAAAGATAGAAGCTTGAAGACGTTTAAGGTAAATTTTAAACATTTTTTCGTAAGTCAATACATTTTCTGTAACACCAAAACTCTTCATGATCTGTACACGCAAAAATAATTTGGAATAAACTGATAATCAGTATTGTACAGATAAATGCAGGTATAGTATAAATTCAAATTAAGAAACCTTTCAATTTGGGACAGTTTTTTGATTGGTTACCCCCCAAAAACGCAAGGCATTATGGGGATGTGAAAGTCAAGAATACCAACCTACCTACCTTATTTGGCCTTGGTCCTCACTGGCTGGCCGCTCTGGAAACTGTCAATCAAAAGATGCCAACAACTTGCTTAGAATTGGCTTTTTTACCTAGTATGTTGATAGGATATTGGTAGGCTATGTAGGATATTGGTAGGTTTAATGGTATGCTGTTGACAAACAACCTACTAACAAATTGGGCAAATATGTATACACAGTTATTTCCCTGGTTCTCCCTCCCCCATCTAAAACTCAATGCTCCCTAAGGACAGCTATAAAACAGAATGTTAACCTCTCACTATTGAACACTAAACTAAATAACTAACCTTGAAATCAGGAAATAATGGTGTTGGTCCAGTAACCCTGGTTCTTTTGGGATCACTTGCAGCTAAAGCATCAGACAATATTCGAAATAATTCGAATTTAGAAATATTATGCACATTTCTACTGGCGGTAGGGGTTCTATATTTTTAATTGTAATCAGAGTGGTATCTGGTGTTGGACTGTGACAATGTTATTTTGCAGCATTGTGGAATTTGGTAATATTTTATGACAGTGGCTGTGGAGCATAGTTTCGAGTGGGGAGGAGGGGGCTAATATGGGGGGGAGAGGGTATGTCCAGACTAATCTGAAATTTTGAAATTGAGGCTCTCAGGAATGTGATTTCTAGTGCCACAGTTTTGGGGGGCAATAGATCTCCTCGACGTGGGTGTAACGTGTCCCATTTCAGAYCATGTGTCATTCCCTAGAGTATCCTTTCTTTGTTTAAGGGTTGTGCTCAGTTGCACATGAAAAGACACATGAATATGGATACAACTCCAACAAAGAATCTCATTCTCAAGGGAATGAATCACAATATGAAATGGGACAACAATATGCCCAAGCCGAGGAGGTCTATTGCAACATGTTTATTGCATAAAAGTAATGTCAAAACTTTAGTCAGCTCATAACAGAAAATCAATTTTGGCTAAAAATGTTGGGGGGGGGGGGGGGGGTGGATTACCAAAGCATTAAATATGAATATCTAAATCTGCACATGTCTTTTACCTCTCTCAGGGCTCACTGTCCCTGTGTCTAATGGTCGATGTCTGTCCAGATCAGCTATCTCTTTGTCCCCACTTGACAATGGCTGACAGTAATTCCCTGTGTTGGGTGTCGGTACTGTGACAGGTATTGTTGGCTGAGGGTTCTCAGCACTTGTTTCTTGTTTCTTCAATGATGTCTTGTCTTCACTTATCATTGGCTCAGAGGTCTCCACAGATGCCTTCTCATGGAGAAGTCTGTCAGCCAAGAGCAAAGGAAAATAAATTAAATTCTCCAAACCCACAAATGTTATGGATACTCTGAAACAGCCTTGGAGCTGATCAAAGTCAGGGCACGGCTAAATTGGAGCTGTTCAAATTCAGGGCACAGCTTATATTAATTGGAGCTTGAATTTGAATTAGTGTGCAATTTTGCAGAGGAAGGAAAAAGGAGAATGGATTTACTTGTAGGAAAAATAGAAAGACAAACAGAAATTATCATTGACTGAAACTGGCTTCCTATCCCTTCCCCATCCCCTACTTCTTTAGTACATTGCCCAGTTTGATAGTGTAATGATTATCTGATGATCACCCTCTGTCCTAAGTTCATTCCCCTCATTACCTGATTATTCCCCTTCCCCCAGTTTCCTAACCCCTCATTCCCTTATTACCTGATGATTGCCCTCCCTCCTAAGCTCATTCCCCCCATTACCTGATTTTCCTCCTTCCCCCAGTTTCCTAACCCCTCATTCCCTTATTATCTGATGATCCCCTCCCTCCTAAGTTCATTCCCCTCATTCCCTTATTATCTGATGATCCCCCTCCCTCCTAAGTTCATTCCCCTTGTTACCTGATTATTCCCCTTCCCCCCRTTTCCTAACCCCTCATTCCCTTAATACCTGATGATTGCCCTTTTTCCTGTCAGGCCAAGACTGTGAAGGGTTGTCTTCTTCAAGTTATCCTCTCCGCTAATCTAATAAACAAACTCTAATGATTTATTATATACRAAATACCGCCTGCTCGAACAGCCATTCAGAATGCACGATTTTTTAGGATACCGTACTAACCGGAAAAAAATAAAGTTATTTATTTTTAGGTCCTTGTTGTAGAAAAAAGCCTTAGTTTACTCACTCTTTGGGTCATGTATACACAAACAACATCTTGTTCTTCTGTACCAAATAATTTGTTTTGATGTTCACTACGAGAGACAAGTAAAAATATGTATACAGCTTTCAGAAACACTACATATGACAGCCGTGGACCATCCAAAGGGAGGAGCTGAGGGGCTATAGGCCCTGTCACTATCGGACAGTGTGGCACAGTGGTTATACCAGATGAGTGATTTGGGCTGAAATAAGTGTGTGATAGCAAAATGTAGAATGTAACTCATGAATTCCAGGTTTACTGCGACACGTGATTCTTCTCTTGAAATATGAAATATGAATGCAGRAATTAATATAACGGCTGGACATCGGAAAATGTTCGCCCAGATTTGGAAATTGTCTGGTCAAATGTTTTCCTTACCGGCCATTTGACCAGTAACGTTTGGCCAGAAATGAAGTATGAACAAGCTAAAACAAATTCGGCCAGTTATTATGACCAGCGACTTACCAGACATTATTTTAAGCCCTGGTATGATTTATAAGACAAGAAAGAAAAAATGTTGATATTTTGCTCTTACCTTCCTTCCTGAGAGTTCCAGTGAGATACAAGATCCCAAAGAGAGTTTTCTGGAGGAAAATCATTTTGAAGTCTTTCACCAGATGCTAACTGTATGGCTATGGTGCACTGAACTCCTGCAGAATGACGAAAAAACGACCATCATCATTAACACTAAATGTCACCCTTAACCACTAATACCACCATCATCATCATCAGCAGTATACATTATCATTAATGATTGTCAACCACTAATACCTTCATCATCATCATCATCACTATACCTTATTATTAATGATTATTATAAAATAACGGTTATGAATGTCGCGTTCTGATTGGTTGGGAGCGTGTGCTTTATGAGAGCACATTGTACGTGCGCCCACTTTCCGTTGCGTCATTCCTATCTATTATTGTAATTTGTATTTTATAAAAGAAATAAAAAACTTGCTTGCTGTGCTGTGTGCAGTCATAACGCACTTGGGGATTGGCAGAACACTCGAGAAGTGTTCAGAAGCACTCCGCTACGCATCATGCTTCTCCTAACACTTCTCTCATATTCTGCCAACCCCCGCGTGCTTTAGGACAGCAGACAGCACGCACGCGTCTTCTATTTCTTCATTAGCCACTGATACCTTCATCATTATCACTATTCCTTATCATTAATGATTATTAACTATTGATACCTTGTTTGGATGTTTTTACATGCTTCACTAACTCTAGATGGGCATTGTTTGAGAGTCCTGAATACCGTATTGGTAAAGTTTCATCCAGTATCTTCCTCTGATGCCTAGAAAATAAAAAAGAAAACAAAGGTTGACCACCTTCAAGCATATATATTGATGTTCCTAAGAGATTTTGAACAAACTTTATGAAATTACCTAGAAAGCCTTCTTATAACTTACTTTATACCATGTTCTTGGCTTGAAAATCCTTGTTTCTTGCAGACTTCTTCCAAAATCTGTAAATTAAGAAAAAAAACTAAATAAAAGCACATTTCTTTTTAGAGTTTTAGTTTTTAAGATGAACATTTCAAAACCATTTTTCTCGTTAGAAGCAGCTAATAAAGCAATTCAAGACCAAAATAAAAAAACTTTGACATACTTACTTGTAAAATAGTTGTAGTTGGACCAACTTTAACGGTTTGTCGGCGAGCATTTGGACAAACTACAACAACGCTCTTGCAGGTAGCCATTTTGAATTGGAAAGGAAGTACACCACAGGAAGACCAAGACACTTGATAAACAAACACACAGGGAGCCCATAATACACAGGTGGCTATTTCCTTGGGTATCATTTTTCTATCGGGGAGGGGGGTGGTGGGAGACGCTTGGTAACCAATACAAGAAGTCTGACCTGGCCCCTCTTCGCTGTTGCATAAAAAATGTCTTTCAACTGAGCCCCACTTGAGCCTAATCTTTTTGATGACCCCCACAAATCCTACAAAAAAATGAATGTCCCTTAATTAAATTGGCATTCATCAAACTCTCCAAATTCAGTCACCCTGTCAATCCAAAAGGTCAATATCTGGATAGAGTCCAAGTCGAAGAGATAAATTATCATATCATGTCACAAGTTTTACTTTCTCATTTCAAATGCTCCTTTCCCATCAAAATAATGATCCCATTCTGGTTTTTTTTTTTTTTTTTTTGACAAACTTCTCTTTAGATATTGCATTGTCTTCTCATTACAGGCCAAATTGATATTTCTTAATTATGTTCTTTCAGTGATATACTTGGTTAATAAAAGGTGTCACTTCTTGTGTCAAACACACCCAGAAGGACTGGGGGTTGTAGGGGTTCATGCAATGGAGCATCATCTCTCAATTTATAAATCATTAAAATACAGGTGTCAATATGGTGATTGATATGCAATACTCCATTTTATAGTTCCATTCAGTGACCACCACAAATAATAGTTCCTAGCCCAGGCTGGAGCTACTGCGCATAATAAACTCTAGTTTTGCTATGTGCAGAAACTCCAACCTCGGCTAGCGCCAGTAAACACGACGAACGACGTAAACGAATGAACAAGCTTTAATAATGAAACGTAGTCGCAAAATGGCCGACCAATAACAACAGTAATGAACAGGCGTCACTGGCGCGGGCGCGCGCGCATGACAGGCACAAATGTCCGCGGGCACAACGGGCTCGCTGGCGTAGGAACTATTTTTCGTGGTCACTGAATGGAACTGTAAAATAAGGTAGGAATGCAGTGCACACTTGAAACTGGGTGGGATGGGAGGAAGGAATATAAACCAGACTGAAAGTGGAAGGTCATGACCAAGGGCTAAAATATCTTGAAATTGTTGCCAAAATTAATTGAATTTAGAACTCAATTTTATTTCTTGCTACGTGGTTCCATGGAATCCCCTTTCGTGAGATCTCATGAAGCTGATTATGTTCATGTTTGGCAGAATTGGGGTACGTTCATGCTTGGGGAATTATTGTTTTGTTATTGAGTGAAAGACAACAAGTGAATTATTAGTTAAAGTGCACAGTTTCAAAGTAACAAGGCAAGTATCTGTAGAGTTACAAGCAATWTTGTGTGCCAAAACCATGAAAATGAGGTTGGTCAGGCCTTAGTTCTCTTTCTCATGAAAATCCTCCTAATTTCAAAATGTTGTAAGTTTGTATTTGTTGTAACTTCAGGTATTAGTGCTAGAGCACTAACATGTTACTAATGTGAGCAAGCTGTTTCAAATGCTGGCTATAATGACTTCAGCAATACAATGAAAAGACATGTTCCGTTTCTATGGCTTTTTGCATGGGGTCTAAAACATTTCAGTCCAACCAAATTAATTCTGTAAAATAATGTTTTTATTTGAAGGAACCTTAAAATTTTACAACATTAACATATCATATTATTGTACAAATATATTATGAGTATTTTGTATGTACATGATAGCCAAATCTCTGGCACTCAAGGCCTAGAAATCCTTGAATTTTAGTTATAATAATATTAAAAATCCTTTCTCGGTCATAAAATATTCCATTAATAAAACAAGACATTCCTTTAAAAACTCTCTTGGCAAACTGTTTGAATCATGAGTCTACTTTCTCAACTTTTCCAACAATTTTTCCTTCATACAATGGAAGCTTAGATTCATCATCTCGTACTTCTTCATAAACAACTTCACAGTCTCTGTCTTCTTCGTCTGTTTTCGTCTTGAAGAAGTATCTGAAAGAAATAATGCGTATTTGTTAACTACACAGAATAACAATATCATTTAAAAACAGTTCAAATATTATCATTATTATTATAACCACTGGGCTGATAAAAGGTCAGGGTACTAGTAACCCATAGATCCAACCCTGAAACAACCTCTGGGCTGATCTATAAAGTCACAGCACAGCTAACTCAAAGATCAAAGGCTGAAGCAACCTCTGAACTGATCTAAGTCAGGGCACAGCAACTCACRGATTGAACCCTGAAACAACCTCTAGGCTGATCTAAGTCAGGGCATGGCTAACTCCCACATGGCTAACTCAAATAACTAAAATTTAAAGAAACTCTTTAAATTAAAATTTAGTTTTTGTTTAGTATCATTTATTTTTGAATGCAGTACTTGCTATAGTGTGTTCAGCTGCTTCTTTATGAAAACATTAAAAACAAAGCCAAATATTACTTACGCTGAGCAACTTTCACAAAATAAATAAATATTTACTTTTGAAATTTTGGTTAAAAAACTAGAGAAAAATTATTATATTTATCAAAATATTACGAAATTCTATTGTTTTATAAATACCATTAAAAAAAACATCACATCTAAAATGGATGAATTTTTGTTCCAGTGTATTTTGATTTTACCAATAGACACATCTGATTGCCAATTGTGCAATTTTTTTCAAGAAAAAAAGATTAGGAAACGTATGCCAACTCTAAAGCTATAAAGACGATGACTGAAACAAACAGCTGAATAAACAACTAAGTCGTATGAGATACATTACAGTGGGGAAACTCAAACACCGAACACTTCAAATTTGTTTAGGCTATATTTTCTGAACTAATTCTACTGTTTCATATCCTTTTAAATAAAGCTAGGCATTGTGTTAAAAGACACTGAGCTGAGTGATCATAAAAAATCTTATTTTCAGTCTACTGGCTCAAGAGATGGTGTACTGTATATGCCTTTTTTAAAGGTGACAAAAAACTGAAAGTGTTTATAGTTTGAGTATCCTCACTGTGAATATGCATTAATTGAAAACAAACTTCTAAAAACTAAAATAGCCAAAGCAAATTGTTTCACGCATCAGATAGTGTGAATATAATTTAAAACTTTATTCTTTTGTGACAAAGCTAATGAAAGGTCTTCCCCCTAATATTATTTGTTTTCCAATTCTCACTTTTAAATAGCAGTACAACAGAAAGATTTCCTGACAGCCATATTAAAGAGAAAAACAAACAGACAATATACCATTTTCTCAAGGCTGTATTCCCATTTCAGATCATGTGTCATTCCCTAGAGTATCATTTCTTTGTTAACAGATTTGCATGAGAAAATACATGAATATGGATACAACTTGAACGAAGAATCTTATTCTAAAGAGAATGACACTTGGTCTGAAATGGGCAAAACATTTCGCCCAAGTGGATTTTATCTCCTTTGAGAAATACACTGTATTATATTTCTGTCCTTCAACATGGCTGCCAGCAAACCACTCTGTTATAAAACTTTATTAAAGATAAAAATAATAAAATCACATCAAATTAAAAAGCTCACCTGAATTCCCCTTTTCTCATGATCAATGTTTTAAATTGTCCTAGTGTAACATTCTTTCCTGGTAATGATGTCCGATATGCAATAGGTTCACCCCATAGCCAGTAAATAATTGTTGTTGAATTATGCTTTTCTTTCTTCCTTAATCCTGTGCCGATTCCACTGTCTGATCTACTTTTTGTGTCATTATTTATATTTGATGCAGAAGATGGAATAGATGAAAATGTCGAAGAAGCCTCACATGATTGGTGGGGTTTTAAGTCGTATGAGAGCAATGATTGAGCACAACTTGAACAGTCTGTTGAACTCRATTTGTCTTGGAACGAAGACATACTGTCGCTTGTGTTGTCAACACTAGCTCTTGACCTGAAAAAATAAAATAAAAAAATAAATGTTTGGAAAGAATATCAATCAAATCGTTATTTGATCACAAGTAAAGCATTTGAAGGTCATCTTTTAGATAACAATGTTAGTTGTTATGGATAAATTTGGTCATAATACGAAGCAATGTTTGATAATGTGTATTGCTGTATAAGTGCTTATAATAATATTGTTAAAATTGTTAAGATGAGAATATGTGGACCGCGTAGCACTTATGAAATACATGAAGATATAGAAATATAGATAAGTTGTAGTGCTTGGGAACGAGGTTACTCCGGGGGAAAGACCCCTGGAATTAAATTCGGAAAAATTAATTTCCGACCTAGCTGGGAATCGAACCCACGACCTTTGGAATTCTACTACCGATGCTCTACCAGCTGAGCTAGAGGTCAGACTAAGAGCAGGCCGGGGTGAAATAGATGTTAAAATTGTTAACAATGTTAATATCCTTAAAAATGTAAATAAAGCATTGTTGAACTTAAGGAATTAATGCTATATAAATCAATATTATAATTATATTATAATTATGACAGCTTACATTACAAGAACTGTGGTAATACTGAGTTGTTAAGTGGCTGGTATAGAGAAGTTGGAAACTTTATTAAGCTATATCTTAGTGTGAACCAGGTGATTTGGAATGCATCATTAGCAACATCAAAAATTTCCAAGTTTTTTATATTTTCTTTCATTGAAATGAGCTGAAAACCTGGAACTAGGAAATAGAGCTATGAACAAAATGTTTCCTGATTGATTCATTCTTTTGGGCTGAGAATATTCACCTGGAATATTTTCCCTTGGGCTTTGAAAACTGGCCACTCACTAGATCAAGGTTGTAATATACTACTAACCTGTGCTTTTGGCTATGTTTACTTCTTCTCTCTTGTTCTTTAGATTCCATTAACCTCCTCCGCACCTCGCCCAGCACCGTAGTAGCTTCAGGTTGAGGCAGAAGGGGCATGTTTGGATCTTGAGCGATAGGCTGGTTAGGTTGAAGCTGACTAGTGTAGTTTTCCCCTGTCCGACTTGATGACGATGATTGCCGACTACTCTTGGACTGGTGCCTCACTTTAGTGGTTTTCTCTCTTTGAAGTTCTTCTTCACCTGTTTCCATCCATTTCATAATCCGATGATGATTTACAGTCAGAAATGGAATGTTATTGTCAGAGGGAATAGTAACTTTTTTAGGGGGTTTATTGCATTCTCTATTCAAATGAGGGGCTTGTTCACATGATTTATCAGATTCCTGTCTGGAGGATTTTGAACCATGTTTACTTTTGCTTCGTTTGTGTGTACTGTCACTACTGCTGCTGTTCACGGCGCCTGATCCAGCAGTGGCATTAGCACTTGTACTTTTTGATGATGAATGATTAGATGTACTGATTGATGTTGTATCATCTTGGACAAGAAGAGGAGACATCATTGCCATTGTACTCAAGGGAATTCTATCCCGCCGTTCTTTGTTCTCAATGGCTTCTTGAAGGATTGATTTCTTGGAGTGGCCACTACTTGCACTCTCAACCTGGAGTTACAAAGAGAGAAATTTTAGATGTCTTTAACAAATAGTAAAGCTTTGATGGATAATAGGATGAATGGATTGAAGGATAAAAGCAAGGCTGGATGGAGGATTGAAAGGAAGGTTGGATGAATAAATGGGGGTTTGATAGATGGATGGATGGATAAATAGATGGATGGAAGGTTGGATGAGTAGGCAGGGGTTTGATAGATGGATGGATGGATGGAAGGAAGGTTCAAGGTTTGGATGAATGAATAGGTGGATAAATAGATGGATGGATGGATGAAGGTCTGAATGGATGGATGAACGAATATAAGGATGTATTAAAGGTTGGATGAATGGACATAATATCTTGACTTACATCTATTGAGTGTGACAGATTGATAGCTTCTCTCTCCTGAAGCTGTCTTTCAATGACAACTTTCTCAAGTTTCTGGTTTAAAATTCGAACAAATTCTTCTGGACTAAGGGGGTTTCTTGCTTCTTTGGGCATCCTGTGTGTTCTCTGTTGAAAGAGACGAAACAAAACAATAAGTATTGCCATGACAGCTGTCAAGAAGGTTGGTTGGTATGCTTGAAATATGTTACAGTGCGACGTGCAAAAGTATGACTGGCAATAATGATTGTATTCACACACTTTTATGCACAGGCTTTGGTACATTAAACTGATACACTTTGATGCAAAGATGAGAATATGTGGACCGCATGGCACTAATGAAATACATGAAGATATCGAAATATAGATAAGTTATAGTGCTTGGGAATGAGGTTATTCCGGGTGAAAGCCCTTGGAATTAAATTCGGAAAAATTAATTTCTGACCTCGCTGGGAATCGAACCCACGACCTTCGGAATTGTATTACCGATGCTCTACCAGCTGAGCTAGAGGTCAGACTGAGAGCAGGCTGGGGAGAAATAGATGTTAGGTAGCGGTAATTAACCTCGTTCCCAAGCACTGTAACTTATCTATATTTCTATATGATACACTTTGATGCAAAGCTGGCTGGTTTTACCATATAATTTGTGTAAAAGCTTGTTTAGCAGCAAAAACCCTGTGTATAATAGTATGCAAATATATGAAATATTGTCATACTTTTGTGTGGCGCATCGTATTTATTTATTAGAAGAATTTTTGTCCAAGGAAAAATCAAAATCTGGTAACTCAGATTCAGTTGACTCTGTTGAATAACTGAACTGGTTTTATTCTCTTACAGTTTAAAATGCCAATTTGCTAAAAAAAAWTTAAAGCAAATATCTTCTTCAAAATCCCATCAATCTTATTACAAAGCTCAGACATATTTGAAAACAAGAAAATTCAAGATCTTATAAACGGAGTGTTCATACGTCAGTGAGACACAAACTGCTGATGCCTTGGTGTATTGCGTTACTTACTGGAACAAATGGAAAGCGTGACATYGGGTTGCTTGGATTTCTGCTCCGAYGAGGGTGCCTTCGTCCTCCACTATGTCTAGAATGACCATCACTGGTACTGGAAAATATAATATATTGAAAACAATTATACTGCAAGTCGCTCTAGCAATAGTTTTACTATTCAACCCTGATAAAATGTTTAGCAATATTTAGCTCTTACACAGAAATAAATTCAAAAGTAATAAGATTTACAGTCTTTAAATAGTTTTAAGGGGAAAGTAATGCTTCATTCAGCAGTAGAGAACAATAGAGCAGATTTTAAAGAGGGTATTATATGAAGATCACAATGCAAAACAATTAAGATAAATCAAAAACGTCAAGTGGTTCTCAATAACAACAATTAAGTCTTGATAACATTTTTATTATTCACAGACCAAAAGCACRAAAACCATGATAATAGTTACACGGAACTTTAAAAAAAAATATAATGATGTATTGTACTTACTCGGTCGTCATTGATAATGTATCATCAGTAAGGGCATCGCTCGACATGCTTTGGCTCTCCACAGACTCTGTTATTGAAGCTAATGGTGCCGTTGGATAATAATATGGTGAGCTGGTGTCCTTTACAGGGTTATGGAGCAATTTTCTGTAGGAGAAATAGCAATAACATAAGATTCATATTATTTATTTACACTTATACGAAGTATTAAGAGGTCACTTTGCTCCTAAAATCACTATCAATACAACTCATTATCAAAGACAATATATATTTTCACATTGTAAGCATATCACACTGGCTAAGTGAGGAAACATGTGTTGTGGAAACATTGTTTCAATCTGGCACAAAAATATTAAATGTTTCTTCTGTACTACACGAACATATCTTTCTTGCTTCTCAGAAGCAAAATTTCTTGTGCGTTACAATGTTTCGCACATGGCTAAACCGGGAAGCATGAAGGAATTGCGAGGTTAACATGTTCCTGGAAACATGTTTGCTTGTATAGCCAGGGCTTATCTTAATCCATATTTTATTTGCTAAAAGAATCTAAAAATAGTGGAAAACTTGAAGCAAGAAATCAGTGACTTAAGAAAGTTTAGACGTATCACCTTTAAGATGATAATTCTTATGCTAGGGCATTGTAATCTAGAGTTCATTTGATGTTTCTTAGTAATTGAAAAAGCACTTGATATCAATTATCAAAAAGATAAAGAGTTTCTCAATTTATCACATCAATTTAATATGGACATTTGGAGATACTTTTTGGGTTCACATTCAATCAATTTGTGTTGATAACACATTGAAAACCACAATATCCATTCTATTAATAGATATCTGGTGCTCAAAGCTTAATTCATATTATACACATATATAGCAAGATTTTTTTTGTTTAGCAAAACTATTTAATAAATCTGTAGCAATTTATCAAGTTGAGATGTTTCAAAATTCTTTTTGACTAGAGGATAAGACTAAGGCTAAGGACAAGTAAGAATTAGATTCAAAGCCAGCACTGACTGCCCTCTGGAAAGTTCTAGCTTAATTTATTTTTGAAATGATGGAAAGTAATTAAGCAAGCGACTCCTCTATGACTGCCTACACATCTGAAAAAGATGACCTGGCTGTTATGGTAAATGAAAGCATGTGTGCTGGCAAAGGAGTTGAGCCGTAATGATTCGTGCCCTGTTTTGGTTTGTATTATACCCACGCGAAGACTTTAATGTGCACTTTTGAAAAAGTATAGTATTAAAACTTAATTGCCATTGAAAATTGCTTAAATATTAAAAACTATAAAGATGGGCTTTGATAGTATGTTTGTACTTGTGTTCCACAGCTTGCTACACTGGGCCACCATTGTTAAGCTTTTCTCCTTGGGGCAAAATAAATCACGGTATGGGGTGAGTTCACCATGCCAGCCTTTCCTAATATTACTAACAGGTCTCTTACAGATACTCATACTCTGCACAAGTCACATTCACTTTCATAACCCATTAAAATACAGGATAGAGGGTCTCATGATTATATGCCTGTCAAGGGATAATTTACAAAAGCACTCGAAAAATCAAAGCAGACAAAGTGTTTGACCAGAGCGATTTGACCTCATGTTGCTGTGAGATTTGGTTTGTAGTTCAAGTAACAAGTTTCATTGATCAGTTCGACTCATAAAACACATGCAACCATGCATTACATTCTTCGGTAGTGATTTCCTCATTGAATGGATTTTAGATGGCTTACTCAGTAAATATTGACCTCTCAAGCCAATTAAAAAGTGAAACATACTCAAAAAAAATTGAGAACGAATACAATAAAAGCGTTTTAATATCGTTTGGTGAAATGAATCTCCCCTGGAGGTTAACTTCAATGCTAAACTATGAATTGTAGGATATGGAACAGTCAAGTGCTAAGCTAGAGTTTATTATGTTCAAACACTTGCTGGAATTTTATAGTAGCTCTGTTCAAGTAGGAATCATTTAGGTTCTATTATGGCTAAGTATTGGTCAAAGTATTGTGCTATCAGTGGAAACCATTTCAATGCAAAAAACAATTGAAATTGACACTAGAGTGAAATTAACATCTAAAGCAGTGGAATACTGCATCGGTGTATATTCTACGAAGTATTTCTGCGTGGAGAACAGCTATCACATCCAGATTACAGGCTTTCTACTTAGCTAAAGCAGCTCAGACATCGCATTTGCCGAAAGTCTTAGACATAACAGAGATTACGAACTTTCTTTCGCCTTGATTGAACTATTTAATCTTGAAAGGGTTACCGAAAAAACCCGCTATCAGATGGAATACCGACGAAAGGAATCTGATTTCTCCTTCCTACGGCTGCCCGGCACATAGATGCCGTTTTTTTTTATTTGGATGCTCATTTATCTCAACGACATTGGAGTTTTTGAATAAAGAAAGTGTTTCTGTGAGTAGGTACTTTGCTCTACGCGAGTGATCGAGAATAGCATAACAATACATTCACTTGAAGTGTGACAGTACAGTAGTTAGGGATTGTTATATCCATTGGGTCATACGAGAGAGCCAAGATTCTCATCCGAAATTCATACCATTCTATCAAAATAAAAAAACCCATGTACAGTACACTCGTTGGGAGAGCTACCTATTTCGCCTGTTAAATACTGATTAAAATAAGGCATGGGGAACAAGTCGCTAAGTTCAAAGGAATTTTAAGTTTGGCTCCAGAGGTAAAATCACGATCAAGCGTAGAGACATGGCTTGTCATTTCACGGTTTAACACAATTGACAAACTATCAATAATAAGCTTGCAGGAGTAGATTTCCCAATATGAGCTGTGTGAAAACGATGATATAAATACTATGTAATGATACGGCTAGAGCCAGTCATTGAGAGGTTTTCAACATCATACTGTTTACCATTGAAAACATACCCCACTATATCGAGTGACAACAGACCAGTGAACACACGGTTCTTAACTAAAACTATGATCTGTTTTTTCATAAAATCTTATTCGTAATCAAAAAATTATTGCAGACATCATAAAACTCACAAATCAAGTTAGGTTTTATGAAGTTACAAATCAAAGTCTTACCGTGCATTTTTTTCATCCGAGGTCGGGTCCGTACTAGTGTAGGTCAGTCCTGATAGTCCCTTGGTATTTTTACACTGTTGATCATATTCGAATTCTTCTATTTCTTCACCGAATCCCAATACTTTTTCCTCAGGTAAAGTAGGTAGATAGCCACCTTGAAACCTTCCACTATAAGGAGCTACCATCTCGTTGATAATTTTCGGTGATTCACAATGAGTTTCGGTAAACTCTTTGTAGAAACTTGAGCTTAGAAACGATTCATAGTATGTAGTTTTTAAATTCACCATAACTTCTGAGCATGCTTGTTCGAAAAGTAGAGGATCTGTGGGCTGGTCGCTTATATGTTCCGCAATTTTAGTCCTCGAAGATTCCTTGATCCCTAATAAGTCACAGGTATCTCGAGAAAATATGTATTTTTGAAAGATTGCTTTGGCCGTGGATCGCGTCTGAGGCGATGTAGGTACCATACCTCGAAAGTCATCACAAGTTCGGCAGAAATCTAGAAGAATGTCACGGTTAATTCTTCGTAAATACTGGTAAAAAACATACGATTCATCACAATCGCTTAACTTGTCTGTGAAACAAGTTCCCAGTCGTTCATGAAATGTCGGACTCGAAACAGCTTGTCCTTCGGGTTCAAACCCTAGCGGTGCTAACTTCTCTTCATCTGTCGCGAGAGAAGCTCCATGGCTTATCGGTAATTCCTTTGCAGTAGATCTTCGAGGTGTAAGTCGAGGACTTGGTGGCTCGTAGGAATCAGCTTTAAATTGACCAAGTCCTTCTTTCGAGCGATCGTTCTCGCTTGAATCTTCTCCCGTTGGCGGTGGCCGCGGCATGTTATACAAGCGGGCATTTGCAGACTCAATTTCACGTGTAGATGAGTGATCTAGTGTTCGAAAACTTCCCTGTGTGTTTGGAACACTGCTATCCTTCTCTCTCGGTTCCATGACAAGACGAGACGTACAAGGTTGGCCGGCATGTAGTATACTCTCCTAACCCCAAACCCGCTTGGCAGTAGATTCGGAGAATCTTTGCACTAGGAGAATAGTCGCAGAGATCAAAAGGAGCCGCTTAGGCCCAAAGCAAATACCATTCAAAGACACATATCAGAGTATTRTGGTTCGATGAACTTACCTACATCTATAAAATCGATCCGCATTTATAACTTTTGAAGAGTGATAGAGATGAAATCGGTAAGGAGATCGAAGACAAATGATCAGACCTTACAGCCTGGAATAACTTCGAAACTTCTCAGCGTAGCTTTACATTTGTGCTGGGAATGTTATTGAGTTCGGCAAAGACTACAAAATCAACTTCAAAAGAAGCCGCTTTCAAGGCGGCGCTGTTCCGATCAATCCCTTTGGAGTATACGTCACAAGAGTGAAGAAAGCCGCGCCAATCAGAGCACTTGTAAACTGCCCCGGGTTGTAGCACGTGCTTGCTGGCAACTTTACACACGTTGAAGACCGCTTTAATTAACTGCAGCTGCTATAGCAGAGAGAGATTTCTTAGCCGTACTACGCTCCGAAAAAACATTCTTTTTCCGATAAGTCCACCGTTCTGACTCAAAAAACAGATATTATTGCCTTTTTAAGTTCGTTATTTTGCAGATTGCCGCTTCTGGTTCGTGCTTTGTAAGGTTTTAGCGTCGGGAATCACCTTAACCACAAAACGTATTTAAGGGAGTCATTACCAATCTTAGATGAGGAAAGAGCGGAAAGTGCCAAAGAAGGTTGCTGTCAATCAATCGTGACAAGCGCTTCTCGGCGATTGTTTAGTTGGGATGAATTTGTTTGTAATTTGTAATCAGTTCTAGGTTCATAGCTTTCAAATTATTTTCCTTCGCTTTATTACCTTCGAATTGATGATTCTTCAAGCGACTTCACTTCTTATTAGCCTGTAGGAAAGCCGTGGCGAACTCTACACGCCGACGAGTTGGCTATAGCGGTGCTACAAAAGTTTCAAGCGCATTGATCTGGGCTAATGAATTTCTTTATTTGACGAATGCCGGTCGCAAAGAAAGCAGTTAACATGTTATTGGCTATATTAAGACCTAATAATTTTTCACTCCTTGCACTTTTTACGAAATAAGAGCGGTCCTCTTTTAGCTTCGAACAGACAATCTCGAACTGGTTTCAAATTGCTAGGAATATCGTGATGTAGGCCGCTTTTGCCTCAATAATTTTTTATCAATTGGCTTTAACACTCAAAAGAATGATATTCATCGGCAAAACCGCAGTAAATAAATCAAGAAGATCCAAGTTAGAAATTCCTTTTTGGTACCACATTATTTCCAAAAAGTGAAACATCGAGCGGTCGCTGTTTGAAAGTTATTTTGAAAAGCATTTCGCAGTACCTAAAGTGCGGCCTCTTTTATCTGACATTAAGATTTTTGATGAGAAAAAGTGATGTTTTCTATCAACCCGCCGAACCTACTGGGTTTTGTTGATTTTCTCTTCAACTTTATAGACGTTTTCAAAGTGAAATCTAAATATTGACAACTTTAAAATCTCCCGTAGTTCGAGCGCTGTGGTTTTCGGCCACAAAGCCCGATAAACATTAAGTTTATCGTTTTATAATAACATTTAGAAACAGTCTTTGAGCTGCAATTTTTGAAAAAGAATTCTACAAGTCTTTTACAAAGTGAATAACTCAGTCAGAAATGACTTTAGAAAATAGTTAATTTTCATTTGAATATTGACTTCTTTAAAAGAAAATGAGTATGGATTATTTGACAAAGCGACAGTCGGTAGAGAACAGAAAAGCGAAAGATTTAAAAAAAAGCAAACTCCTGCGAAGTGATATGGACTGAAAAGGGATTTGGCGCCATCCGCTGCTTTCCATAAAAGCACAAGTTGCCGAAATCAGCCGCGGTTAAGACAAAAAAGAATCTAATAATGACGATCAGCGAAGGTGTTTGCCGCGTTGAATTACCTCGCTGGCCGTGTTTTGTTTGTCTTTTCGCAGCATTGAATTGGTTTTATCTCCGTCCAAGTCACGAGTCATTGGTACAAATTACTTGGACGAAAATTATAACTATCGCGAAAATTATAAATCTTGAATATGTAAATCAATGCGGCTTTTCCCTGAGATCCATTCAAGCTATAAAAAACTTCTTGAATTTTTTGTTTTATTATTTCTTTTACTGATCGCTTGAACCGGAAACGTGTTCTCAGAAACCGGAAGTTACAAAACGATCTTACTTCTAAATCCATATTTTTCGAAATAAAAGTGATTTGTGAAGCTCCGAGACGCCTTTGAGGCACCAGGTTATTGATCTGACATGGAGGAACCTTTGATGGTGTACAAATCTACCATAAGGTTAATCGATTTGGAAAGTGTTAAACTTAAAGAAGATACGGCTTAGCAACGGGTGTCATTGGTGACTGGGCTGTATGTAAATCCACTAATAATGAGTACTGAAAATCAATTGGCGGTCAGTCGTGATACGCAAAGGCCGGTCGCTACATATGGAATATCACTCAGAATCTCAATCTATTCATTTTTGTTGGGCGGCCATTTCTTTTGGGAACAAATGCTAAACTGCTTTGAGAATAATTATTCGAATTTTTTAGCGCATTAGTCAAATCCATCAACCGAAAAGACGAAACCGCAAGCTCTTTGCAGTCGGAGGATCGTACAGCTTTAGAGAATAAAAACAATAGGGTTTAATAAATATAGAAGCAATGATGATGATTGATATAATCATATTAATGGTTGTCGTTCTTTTATGGGCCGGTATTGATGAGTCAACGTTAATTTGATGTAATTGTCTGGGAGGGAGGAGGRACATTCAAGCATAAATTGAGAGACTTTTACCTCATCATTATTACTCTTCCAATATGCCCTATGTTGTTTTGCTTACTGATATTCACGTATCTTGATATGTTTTTCACGTTAGGCTTTTAGGTAGCTCTCAATTTTAAGGCCGAAAATTCTCGCAATTTTGATTGTTTTCCTTTCTTAGTGGGTTTCCCTTACTTTCAATTTTGAGTTTTCCACTAATTTTTAATTTACTTTTACTTCGTGGTTCTTTGATATCCTCTTTCAACTCTCAAAGACACGCTATATGATGCTCGAAAAAGAAAATAAAAGCCAATACAAATTTAAGGAAGTTTTTTTTAAAGTCTTTTCGTCTCTTTGAGTGAGGTGCGATGTCCTTCCTGACAAGCTGACACGTCTAGGAATGGTTCGTGCGCCTCTTCCGGCCAAGGGTATGGCTCGTAGAGCAAGAGTAATACCCTTCCCTCGCTTGAGGGTCACAAGTTTATTAGCTTTATAGCTATTTAGTGCAACCCTCGGTGAAAGTCTATCGTCTATCTATCCCTCTGTGACTATTATATGTTTTACATAATCGACCACCCAGTCAAGAACCACTCTTGGACCAATCCATTGGTGAGGTCCAGGAATTAAAGCTCAGCTTCAGATCTATTGTGGCCAGTTGACACTACAATCCCCAATTCACAGCAGTACCGGACGAGCCAAAAAAAGAACTATCGGAAAATCTCGCGGGAGGCGCTCCATTAAAATGTCACCCCAGCATGCGGAAGATCACTTTTGAAACAGTACTGTGAAACAAATATCGAACAGAGAAGAGGTCGAGTACCAATGGACGGATGACGCCTGCTGGAACGCATCTGACACGGCGGCAAGCTAAAAGGTACGAAGTGGATTCAAGAAAATTCCTGGAATGTTGCGATTTGAGGGCCAATCTCATGAAATATCAAACATAGAGAGGTGACTCGAGTCCGCGGAAAAATGGAATTAATTTTGACTTTTCGATTTTTCCTCTCCCCACCCCCTCCCCCCGCGTATTTTGAAATAATTTTCTATCCCTTACAATACTAGAAGTACAGAAACATCAGACCTAGAATTATTTATAGGTGACGTCATATCGTATATTAGTACGTCATACACCTTAGCTGACGTCACAGTATTACGAAAGAAAAAATAATTATGGTCAGCTGTGTTTAGAATACGTTACCTTAGTTTCATCAGAGTTAACTCTGGTTTCATTAAGAGGTAGGCAAGAACTTTTTTAACTTTGTCTGCCAGATTTAACTGGCATTAACAATAACAGCAACAGCCAATGAGAGAGTAGTAATTGGYTTTTACTCAGATAGACAAGGTGCATTCTGGTCTAGCTTGGGTATTGACAACAAATTCAGTAGTAGTTCATATCATAACCAAGTTAGACCACAATGCAAAATGTTTGCAATATTTCTTCGGAAAGACGTCGACGTATATCAGATAACTAACTTCTTAACTGTACCGCTAGTGCAACTGAAACTGTATTTCAGCCCTACAGGGGTAGGGGTGAGGGTGAAGTGAGGGTTGCACGAGGAGCACTTGATAGTACCGACTCCTCAGTCAAGAAGAATGTGTCCTTACTTTGGTTTACGAAAGTAGTCAACAATCAATTGATTGCCGTCTAAGTACACTATTTCAATCTGAATGTCTTAGACATACGTGAAGTCCTTCAGCTTCAAGATAACCTTTATAGAGCTTCAACAATGCAGATAATCCAAAGTACAAATATGCTACAACGATTTTGATGTGTAACATGATGTCCAAAGTGACTGAACAGCTTGTTAGGAATAGTTAGGAATCTGTCTGAACTGAAAAAAATACATTTTTGATATACATTTTTGAACTGTGCATCAACTTGCACTGTTTCATTCGTTGACGGATTCGTTATCGCAGTTCAAAGGCAGAACCTGACTATTAAAGGGGGGATGGGTGAGCATTATTGTCATCCTGTCTCTCGTCACCACGGAGTATGAGCAGTAAGAGGGCGTGATGGATGCTAAAAAATAGGATAGAAAAAAGTTACAACAATAAATACCGAAAATGCCAAAACTCATGCTTTCTGCCTTAGTCAAAGAAGACAAAATATGGCCCAAAACGAAACACACTTTCGGTTTCTTATTTGGTAAGAATTCGTAACTGGAGCAACTACCATGGTATCAGACCCAATTACGACCCAAAGAACATTCATCTCGATACTAAAGATTAGCCCTATTAACGGATCAACAAATCGACCACAGAAGCAAGCTATTTTGATCATACGCTGCTATAAAAAGCTCCTTTGAAAGCCAAAGGCAATGGAATACCCCCTACAGAGAAAGTAGACCTCTTTAGCTTATGCGTAAGGTTTCTCCATTCCAGGCCAAGTGTCATCTTAAAGAGAATATCATTTCTTTGTTTAATAATGAATATAGATACAACTCAAACAAAGAATCTTATTCTCAAAGGAATGACTCGTGGTGTGAAATAGAAAAACATCACACCCAAGGTAAAGTGGTCTATTGATGGTTACACCACATATAGCGTGTCTGTCTGCAGCACAGACGCATGGGTACTCGATGAGTACCAAACAGTAGGAGAGAGGAGTAAGATATGCTACAAGAATGAAAACCAAGGACCACCCAAATAAACCTCTTCTAAGGTCAAGAGCTCAGTACCAGGCTTATGATTATATTTAAGTCGTTTTGATCTGTAATGACGGCACTACACGTGCTAACACCCATCAACATTCCTCTACACAGCTAGAGGCTCTCGTCTCCGCGAGGCAAGGGAAATACAATAATCGGACTATTAAAGCTACTCCACACATAATATACATGACAAGATTACCTTGAGATAAAAGCCCACTTATGGGGTGAATTGATTTGTCGTGTAAGAAGAAAGAAAAACCGTTCTATTGTCGTACACCTGTATAATAGGTTAAGCGGTAAGTCAAGTCGTAAGTACGCTTATAACATGAAAATAGCTATTGTTGGACCGTACAATACAAATCCAACCAAATCGCATTACGTATCGCGGGTTATCAGATCGAATTTTCTTGCCTAATACACGAGGATAAGAGTTTAAGCGCTAATACCGAAGAATCGATTGAAATATTTTCTATTCCTTGCGCGTGAACCGTTGCATCCCTGGTGAGATATCGGCTTCAAAACGCGTAAACAGAATGTTGGGAATGACCTTGTTTTTCTCACTGGCTATCGAATGCACTGCGCGAACCGCCATAGCTTAAAAAATTTTTTTTTTAGAGAATGAATAATCCTTCTCAGTCTTGTCATTTCATCTAATCAAGGATCTATTACGCCGTCCTTTCTAATTTTTGCTTCAAGCAACAGYCCTCTTGCTCATCAAGATGGTAATCAATATAAAGTTTCTTTTGTCCATCTAATATGACCCCTGCTGGCCGGTGCCCGTCAAGATCCCGCCAGTAATACAGTGTGATAGCTTCTATGCGGCAGAATCTTCAATCACTTCCCGCCAAATATACCAGCTTAGTAAAGTAAGACAAAGGAAACGTCTGCTCTGAATATACACTAAACGTTCTTGTTTCCTTGGCTCAGCCTGAGGAAAAAAAATTCTCTAATTGTTGGCAACTTTGTACCAAGCGATAGGGATACTCGCAAGCTTTGAATGCACTTGTGTTGTGTCCGTTCTAGATTTTCTTTTAGTCCGGTTCGCATGCGATAGATTATGCTAGAAATAGAGAGATCTTCAAACTATTTATGTAGAAAGTTTATACAGTTTCATAGGCTTCACAACAACAAATTTGTGAAAACAATTAGGCCTACTTTGAAATACATCCTCGTGTTTTTGACGGTAAGACCAAAAATATATCTAATATTGTTTTACTCTTTTGAAAACGCTCATCAAAAAATCAGATCAAACATAAAAAATATAGTTTTAATTGATCCGGCCGTGAAATAGTTAGTAAGAGTATTGTTTTCTCTTGTGTTAATTTGACTATACGCATTAAATAGTTAAGTTTTTCCTCCCTGGTTAAGCAAGTACATACAATCTTTCAAGTGCAGTCTTGCCGCCTGGACGTTTTCACATTTTGTTGAATGGTAATCGTTTGTGAACTTTGATATATTAAACCGAGCAACGCTGACCTACGTTTGCCCCTCTATTTTACTATTTTGAAGACTTAGCACCCAAGAGAACTCGAGTAGGTTTGAGCCAAAAAAAAAGCATTTTTGTCTTCCTTGTACTTAATACAGGAAACGTTTGGCGCCAGAACCTTAACGCATAAAAACCTTGCACGTGAGGAAGCCAAAAAAGGAGTTTTACGATGAGAATAACGAAATAAGTTCTGTTTATTTTCCATTCCTTGAAATCAATATTGACAGCACAACTATACCTCGGCATCAGTCTTATTCGATTCTGTGGCCTGAAAGTAAGGCGCCAGTAGGGAAAAGAAGGATTGAATGTGACATCGTGCTAACTAACCTGTCCTGTGGCTTGGGATACTCGTCACCAGCCTCTTCTCGGCAAGTTAAACAGACTTCCGGTTTTGACCTATCTACCAGATCTACCTATTGTTCCCTCTTAGTTCTTGCTCCATTGGTCCTACCACGTATTGCATTTCCAGTACTATGTTACGCCACCCAGTGTAAAGTATCAACAAGATTCTAGTAATGCCAGCCTCACATCTGATGCAATTCCTCATCTTTCAGTCGCAGTTTTTAGATTTTGTTCTTTCAATGATTTCTTGTAACGAAGTTGAAGTTACGAATCGATACATCGTCGTAACCAATTCGATAACTATTCGTAAAAGGTTGCTCCYCAGTTCCTCGTGTCAGTTCTATGATTTGTTCTTTCATTTCTTGCAATAAGTTGATGTTATGAATCGATACATCGTCGTAACCAATTCGATAAGTATTCGTAAAAGGTTGCTCCTCAGTTCATCGTGTCAGTTCTATGATTTGTTCTTTCATTTCTTGCAATACGTTGATGTTACGAATCGATACATCGTCGCAACCAACTCGATAACGATTCGTAAAAGGTTGCTTCTCAGTTTACTAGTTGTCCTTCTCTTAGTATAGCTCGGGCTAAGTTCCTTGCCATGGCCAGGCGTAACAGGTCAATACGGTCTTGCTCCTCCTCTCCTTGCGCCTGAAAAATAATAAGACATTGTCATTTCACATTTCATGTTTTCACATTTCAAAAAAATTGCAGGTAAAAAATTTCAAAGAGAAAACAAATTGACGAAAATTTGCTTCTCATGACTTAATGCTTTTCACGCCGCAAGCGATCATCTTTAGTATCATTTCTGTATTTTCTTGAAACGTATGAGAAGATAGTCATAACAATGAATTTAAAGCAAATCGAAACGGTAAAATCTTACGACAAAGATGAAGAAGTGTAAATTGAAAAAATAGATAGAAGTGGAAAGAAACCACAAATTTAGATAAGGATAAAAAAATTCCTTTTCGCGCTGGACTGTCACACAATAGTTTTATCACCGTCACGCAAATTTGAGGTCTCTTTTGATCTTGTCACGCTATAAAGACAGACAAGGATCGACACAGAACTGACCAAAGTCTCAATTAAAGGGCTGATTGAAAGCAATTAGGATAAAATTTCGCTAAGCTGCGGTATCAGAAAGCCCGAACGCCGCGTCCGAAATCCCGGACAGAGCAGAAAAGGGAACTGCATAAATGATCACGAGATAAAAGAACAAGATTCGGCTCATCAAAACCCCCCGCAAAACTATTAAAACGTGTATATCCATCCTTCTAAATACGATTAAGAGTCACAAAGACGGCCGTAAACCTATCAAGCGACTGCCGGTTCAAACACACGACGGAAATACCGAATACTAATGTCTTAAACAATCAAAGTTGCGGCGAGCGACGCGCGACAAGGGAACCGACACCAATACAAAATCGATCAGCCACTTGCTAAGCTGTGCCTTTGAAGTCTTAATTCATTAATATGGCAATTTGGGAAAACTATAAACAGAACTAGTAAAGTATGACTGACATCAAAGAACGAACGGCGTATAGTCGTGGGCGGAGATGTGAGGTAGACTAGGTGTTGGGTGTTAAATACTTTGTGCAAATGATTCGATAGTGTGGTAGAGGGCATACCAATAAAATGATCACTAAAAAATAATCACACAGAGCGAAAGAAGTGCTATTTCTCAAAGATCGGGTAAAATTTCGAGGCTTTATTTCACGTTTCACGTTTCAATGATTTTATTGAAATTTTTGATGAATCCCCATACATTTCCTTATAACATGACGCCACAGAAACCAAGCTTGGGCTACCTGTGTCTTCTCCAGCTGAAATGGAAGAYCTAAGATATAAAGCTTTGAAGATTCATGCCTTACTTTTCGTTTATTGAATTGTACTACACTTCAATACAGCGATATAACACTCGAATACTTTCTGTCTTTTTAAATACGCCACTCTTAAAATTACACAATTGTCCTACATATAGTTCATTTCTTATTCAACTCTCTTTGCGCTCCTTAAGAAGGCAAACACTTTGCCGAAACAAGTAGTTAAAACCTCAGTCTACGAAGCGTCGTCTGTTATATTTGTATTATTTTCCTTTTTCTTCTCACGCGATAAAGGAAAAAAAAAAAAAAAAAAAAAAAAAAAAAAAAAAAAAAAAAAAAAAAAAAGCTAACAAAAAACAACAAACACGAGAACAGATAAAACCTTAAACTAATTTCAACATGCTTTAGTTTTAAAATTTCTTGGTTTCACCCAGGAGTGTATACTACGGTTGCTTTTATGATTTGGRTGTTGATCAACGGTAAGGGATGATATTGACAACATTACAGCTGACCATTATGGCAGACATTACGGCTCCAATAAATTTGACTTTTTTTGAATAACTTGATACTTTTTTTCCTTTAGTTCGTCCCGCAAGACTTGCAGCAGGTATGATATATACATTAACTTTCCCAATTACATATTATATTCTTTTGTTGTGGCTACTGCCTCGTAGAGGCGAAGCCACTGTGTCATCGAGTTATGTAAGTAAGTCCGTAACACCACAGGAAGCCCAACATTTCTCAATCCAAAAAGTTCGGAAATAGAGTTGCTGTTCTCCTATGGAATTATTTCTTTTTCAAACAACACCTTACAACACACACAAACACATAAAACTAAAACATACATTTTCCATTACCAATTTTAATTCAAGCCCTAAAATTCATAAAATCAATATCAACATTTTGTTCTATATACATAATCTTTTACTTTTAACATTTACAATACTTTTACCAACACCGCTAATTCAATTACCTATCTATCCTTCATCAGTATATCTCAATAGTCAGCTACCAACTTCCTCCATTCCTTTCCTATATAACAATAATTTCTGATGGCAGTAGCCACATGCGCTTATTGAGCGCCATTTTTTAATAATTGACACCCAAGGGCATTGTGGTTTTATTGTGCCACAAAGTATCACCCAAGACTTGAATACATACATTAATGATAATGTCTGATAATTGTAGCCCCAGGAGCACTGGACGTGGCAATTGCTATCGATTCAGCCGAAGACATTACTCCGGAAAACTGGAATCAAATGGTGACATTTGTGACCAACTTCGTCAATCGTTTCCCGAATGTCTCTCCAAGGCTTGATGGCACACGTTTCGGCGTTGTTAGCTATGCAGCAAAACCCGCCGTCCATTTCAACTTCAAAGCAATAAACCCGAATAAAAACAGTGTCACACAGAGGATTCAAAGAACACCTCGTCAAACTGGAAAGGAGAGAAGGATGGATGATGCCATGAAGCTGGTTGAGACTGACTTGTTCAGCAGCAAAGGAGGAGCAAGAGTCGGAGCAGCAAGGGTATGATGACATAAAACATCCTTCTCCGTCCGCTTTCCAATCTTTATCTTGGGGTCCCTTTTTTTTTTTTTTTTTTTTTTTTTTTTTTTNCAAAAGGAAAAACAAATACACTCAAAATACCAAAAATCAAACGATCAAAACATAAACTTGGAAAGGCCGCAAACGCCAAGGTACATAATGGCGCTTATCAGGAAATCTTGGTCAATGAAACCAAAACAATTCTAACAATACGTCTCGTGAAAGTCCAGTAATCGAGGCTAGAATGACTCCGATAGTAATTCAGAGCATGATCTTGATATTTATCTTAGACGAGAAAACGAGTGATTACTGGAATGAATTTCTTAACTTAGTTAAGAACAATTCATTTCAACCCATTAAAGGCTACAAGCTCTTTTCAATTCCTATTTCCAAGATTTTTCATTTAATAATCTCATTTAGGTACCCCTATATATTTCTAAGCCATAAGGCATGATTTTGTTGGAGCCGAGGAAAACGAAATCCAATGCAAAGTTCAATGGCTATTTGAGAGGAAGCTGCAAAGTCTTATCCCCCACGGAGAACGATTAACAACTTGATAAAGTCTAGAGATATCTCTTGTATCAATACATGAACTCATTATTAGCTTCTTAAAGGCTTTTAACGTTTGAGAGAGTTGATCATTCCAGACTGTATCAATCACCTGAGGAAGTCGATGATTACTAATCGATATTTAGATGAGATATCTTTGATTCATCTGCGTCTTCTGAGCCCACGTTCATTTGGGTCTCCGCCAGGAAACGAAAGGCAGTCCAGGATTTCATCCGCCACCATTTTCTGATTGGCTAATATGACAATGAAAAACTGCCACAATATTTTAAGCCAATCAAAAAAAGTTGAATCCCACTCTTAAATTCGCACTTCGCCGTTCGTTTGAAATCGGAGACCAAAAAGATCGCGGGCTCTGGGCACGAAAAAAACGGTTATTTTCTATTTATTAAAGCAGGTTCAATTCAAGAAAGCCAATTTTGAGCCAGTTTTGTAACATTCACGAGGTTTCTTAGGTGGTCCAAACAAGAAATTATACGACGATCAGTATCAACAAAGACCAATCACTTTATGATCCAAATGTGATCAGACGCCATTTTCAATCATACGAAGCGCGACCAGAAATTCTCTTTCACAGTTCCTCTCAGCTTAGCTTTTCAGTCGCTGAAACAAAGTCGCCTACGGTCGGAAACATATGGTGGGACAATGGATTAGGTGATGGTTGAATAAGAGATTAATGCACGATTTGATTCGAACCCAGATCCCGCTCGGTGGTCAAATTTTCGAGCGTGCTCATGGTAAAGAGCACGTTCAAGTCAACAGAGCATATTTAAGAGAAAAAGCTAAACGGTACTAAGATATCCAGAATTCAGGAGAAAGTGGGATGTAATTCACCTTTTGACGCAAACCATCACGTGGTATAAATGGTGTTGGATTGTGTTACGGTCACCAATGTAATGGCTTTTCAAAAAATTTTTCACTTGTACTTGCAAGAACGTTGTCATACGAAAATAGAACATTAGTCATTTAGTGGGATAGGAATCATATTAAAAGCAAAAGAAGATCACTGAAGCTGAACTTTTTCTTTTGTCTTTTAATGAATTCCTTTCTCACTAAATTACTAATGTTCTAATATCGTATGACAACGTTCTTTCTATCAAGTAGGTGTATCTGTGAAGAGGTGAATTAGTCAATGCATCCAGTGGTACGTGACGTTGTTAGCGCCAAAGGGCATCGATAATCTGAGTCGGCACTTATCGTCCGATCCACGCTAACTTGACGATGGGATTTGGATGTGTTTCTAGAAGATCTTAATCATTTTTTGCGGCAATTTGTGTTAAAATTATTGATACAGCACTGACGGTTCGAAGCGGTAGTAGTAATTATCAAACCGTTTTAGCCGAGAAACGTTTTTTAAAGCAAATTCCAAACGCTAATTACACCGGATTGTGTTTCGAGATAGGAAAATAGGAATTAGGTAATTGTTGTTTCTCTAACGTTTTTTTGTTATTCTATTTTTGTTCATTTTTTGGTCTACTTTCCCTTGCGTTTATTTTAACTCCCTTTATTTTCCCCCCACTTTCTTTCTGTCTTTTCCCAACCTTTCTATTAATTCTGTATGTGTATCTCTTTCAGGTACCAGCTTGTCTTAAAAATGCCTAAATGATTTTCTTACAATTCTTAACCGACTTTAGTAAATTTTCTGTCCTATTATTTGCTACTGAAATTTAACTTAAATAAGAACTTTACGCAAGTCCTAGCGAATCGCTTATTA